CTAGTTGTCTGTTCATTAGGCAATGCAGGGATGATCGAATCACCCCAATACAGTGAACAAATAGGAAGCTTGTACACTTCAAACTATTGGGGTCGTTATCATGTTCAACATTAATTCTTTTCCATACATTTATATGTCCACATCTATATAGGAAAGCAGTCAAGCCATATGAAAAATGTAGGAAATAATGACTCTCTTTCCAAACTTTCCCCATTCCATGCTTTTCACTCTGGGTCCAAATATTGAAAAGTTCTCCACAAATTGCTGTTCCCTGACACTGTGGGAGCAAACACGAGTCTACTATGTGCATGAACATGCACCTTGATTTTCTCAGTAGCATTGTGACTTTGGCATTATATACCTGGTGATTAATCAGGCTTATATCATGGCTTATATCATGAATGCATCACATTTATTTACCTAGCTTCCCACTGATAGACATTTACCATGCTGTCAAAACCTGTGTTGTTACAAACATCATTTCTATGACCATCCCTGTTTCTCTCTTCTGCCATCTATGACATACTGATGTCATTGCTGCTCAACCATGAGCTGAACTTACACATAAAACTCTTTACTAAAAAAGCAAAAGTAACTGGGCAGTTCCAGGAAGACTGTTTCCTACATGCTTGTTCTATAATAGATTTCTACATCAGCACCCCCTGTTGGACTAGAGAAATTCCATTATGCCTAATTTGACCACTAGATCCTCACCAAACTCTCCTGCCCTGGAGTTGACTGAGCTGTGGTAGAAGGAAGGCTCAGTGCTGAGGGTGACAGGCTTCAAGCCCTGTCTGCTCCAGGCCTCAGTGAAGTTCTCTGAGGTTTTCACTGTTCCTTCCAGCAATGACATCAACCGTCTTCCTCAGGCCAAAAGTTCCCGATACACATGCAACATCCTAGAAATTCAGGTAAAGACTACGAAATCTAACATTTCACACCCTTCTAGCTACTTCTTTCCAGTCAAGGTGTCACAAGGACACTCTGGGCAGGGCGGTCTACTTGAAGCTAATTGCTTTATAGTAGCCTAGGAAGATACAGATCTCCTTGGATTATTTATTTCCTTGTAGTTCAGTTTTTTTTACTGAATCTGGATTTGCAGCAAAATCACAAGTGTTAATATAATCATCTAATTTCCTCTAATGCCAGCATTGTACACACCATGGGACCTTGACCAAAACCAAGAAACTGGCATGATACTGTTAACTGAGTCACATTTCTTACTGGGTGTCCTGGGATTGGCCCCTCAAGCATGAATGGTTAAGTTGGGTGTGGTTACACAAGAATGAAATTCCAGCACATTAGTGAAAACCTAGTACTGGGCAGGGAGATTGCTTACATGCTGTCCACCTGGTCTACATAGCGAGACCCTGTCTCAAAAAAGCAAAAATCTAAAACAAGGGTTGGTATACAGGCCAGTAGTATACATAAATAAATCAGCTAAGTAAATTACATATAAAGATTATGCACATCTATACTGATACATTAAAAAAATAAAACGTAGAGCAGAAAAGACAAACATGATATCTGGTGCTCCAGAATGAGATCTGATGGGCAGTCTAACAACAGCCTCAGCTACAGAAACTTGAAATTCTTGGATTACATGAAACCTCATCTCAAAACAAACAAAAAAATCAGTCAAGCATACATGGAAACAAGTAGAATCTAAGTTAAATGCTGGAACTTCCTGGTTCTCCTTTCACTGAGCATTCCCAGGAGAGATCTGTATAATTACTCTGTACTTCTAGACCAGCACTGTCCAGTACTAATACATACATTAAAAAGAAACAGGTGATAGGACTTGAGAGACAGCTCAGCAGTTAGAGGTACATGCTGTATAATCTTGAAGGCCAGACTTAGCAAGCCAGCATGAACATAAGAAGACAGTCCCAGCCAGGCGGTGGTGGCCTTTAATCCCAGCACTGGGGAGGCAGAGGCAGGTGGATCTCTGTGAGTTCAAGGCTGGGCTGGACCGACAGCCTCCAAAACAATACAGAGAAACCCTGTCTCATAAAAACCAAAAAAAAAAAAAAAAAGTTCCGCAAGAACACCTGATTTCCAGCCCTGAAGTGTGTGGGGAAGGGGGCACAAGGGAATTGTGGTCTTACAGCTTCCAGTTTAATGAGAAAACATGAGGTCAGGATTCGGGGAGAGATCCGGACTCAGTGGAATAGGCAGAGAAATAGAAAAGGTCACCAGACACTCTCTTCTACCCTGTGTGTTCATGTTCACACACACACTGGTACAAACACACACCTGCATATCCACAGAGAAATGAAAACAAAAAACTAAAACCTCCATTGAACATACTTTAGTATATTAGTGAGTCTTCTCAAATACTCAGTAGATATATAAATATAGAATATCAAGGCCAGAAAGATGCCTCTGTGGTTAGGAGTACTTCCTGCCCTTGTAGAGGATCAAAGTTAGGTTCTCAGCACCCACAGGACAACTCATCCAATGTATCTCCAGTTTCAGAGGCTCCAAGGCCCTGCCTTGGTGCCTGAGGGATCATCCAAGCACATGGTGCACAAACATACACTCAGTCCTTCCCACTCATATTAATATAATATTAATAAAAAGAAAATTATTTTAAAAAATATAGAGATTTGAACTAAAAGTTGTCTTACTTCATCATGTTTCTCTACCAAGTACTTTGAAGAGTCTGGTGGTCCCCCCCTTACACACACACACATTTCCATTCTACAGACATATGTATGTAAGTATGGTACTACTTTCTCTGTAGACCATGCTGCTATACAACACAAGATCTGCTTGTTTCTGCTCCCCAGGGCTGGGATTAAAGGTGTGGGCTGCCACCCCCAGCTCTCTTAAATTTTGGGAAACAGACACTGTGGATGTATTCTTTCATCTATTCCATTCTGAGAATGGGCTTCTAGAAAACATTTATTAGAAAGATTTAAGTAGAATGGCATCCATTCAGCTCTTGCCCTTGTTCCAGGGACTCCTGGTTCCCACAGTTTCTTCTTCCTGGAGTGCAGTTTATTCACCTGTAAATTGAGAGGGTTGGTCCAGGTGTTAAAGTCCCTTCACTCTGCAGCTATCTCAAAAGCAGGAAGGTCCCCAGGCCTAGAGTTACACCTCAAGTGAAGATATTTGCTGCTTGGGAAACAGCCCAGGGCACATTAGCAATGTTCCCACTCACTATGTTCTCCTATAGTCTATATCAGTGAGTAGATGCTATCTAATTGGACTGGAGAACTGGAGGGACTCAGTTTTCACACAGAACAGAATGGAATTCTGGGAGAGACTCGTCTTAATTCCTTGGGCATCTCTGGAAGTCCAGCAGCAGCAGAGAACTAGAAAGAAAGACAGTAACAGGAAGCTGGGGCTCTCCTACCTAACTGGTGAGTACAGTCTTCTGCAGAATCGTGCTGGAGGGGAGCAATCAGGACAGTGCTCCTTGGAGTTTCTGTATTATATGGAATGACATATAAGATGTTGTGGGGTTGTGTGTGGGGCATTAGGACATTGGTGAGTGAGTATTAGACATTAGGGCAACTTAGTATCCAATAGAGTTCTCTGGCTTCTTGGAAGATGAATCTTCATTTAAATGAAATAATGAACTTTCATAGGTGAGCTATCTATTTATTTTGGTTTTTGAGACAGCTTTTGTTGTTGTTGTTGTTTTGTTTTGTATTTTGTATAGCCTTCGCTGTCCTGAAACTCACTCTATAGACCAGGCTAGCCTTGAACTCACAGAGATCTGTTTCCCTATGCTTTCTGAGTGTTGGGATTAAAGGCATGGGCCACCATTGCCTTGCTTATAGATGATCTGTTAAAGTCTTCTCAAGCAAAGTTCACCTGAGAAATAAGAAGAAAGCTGTAGAAAATAGTCTGGTACTTTTGGATTAATCCCTGTTTATTTAGGTGTATTCTGTGAGTAACATGTAATATTATCCAAATGATACAAAAATGGGACCAAGGAGGTGAGAACACAGCTACACTTTCAATCTTGTTCATTGACTTTTGTGGTTAGCAGATTAAGAAATATGTGGAAGAAATGATTTTTATGGAATGTAAAGAAGAAACATAGGACAGCTGTAGGAAGACTCAGTGACGCTGAGTTTGTGTCAAGAAAGTATCACTGACAGGCAGGTAGCACACATCTTTAATCCCAGTACTCGGGAGGCAGAGGCAGGTGGATCTCTGAGTTCTAGGCCAGCCGGGTCTGCAGAGTAAGTTCCAGGACATCGAGGACTACAAGGAACCCTGTCTCAAATAAACAAACAAACAAACAAACAAACAAAAAAGTCTACTGTGTGTGAGGCAGTGAATATCTGTATGTGCCCTGTCCTCAGCAGATCTCAAAAGAAGACAGAATGGCCAGTGCCATGTACTGCCAGGTAGTTTTATTTGACAAAAAAAAAAAACCTTAAAGCTGGTACTCATGAGGGCTTTAGATTTCTAAAATTTGCCTACTAATTAACAATTTTTATACTTTCTCATACAAAAATGTCTCAGTGTTTGGACAGCCATTTGCAGCATTAAGGGTCTGATCCCTTCCAAGTACAGAGGCTGTTAGTGTGAGGCGTGTGGGGTCCTAGGTCTGAGGATGCTGAGCCCATCACAGGCATTCTCATCATAGCTGTCACTGGCCTCAAGAAACTATAAAAGGGTGTACATTTCCTCTCTCAGAGGAAGTCATGGGGTCTTTTAACAGAGTGGAGTTAATGAAGTACTAGGCGAGCTTACTTCTATTCTTATGGTTTAACAAATAAAAAGCAAAATTTGGAATCTAGAAGTTGGAATCTGAACACACATAGCATCCTCCATAAATGGGTTTAAAAGCATTGGGGATTGTATGAATATTAGGTGCCTGTAAGTAAATAGCCCAGCATCTCCTTCATAGAAGATTCTCCAAAAACCTGAGCAAGCATTAGTGCTATTTTACCTAGCAAGAAATTTAGGCATGGGGACGGAGACTCTGTGAATGGAAGGTTTTGATTTGTACGTAGTGCTTTTCTGGGTATCTCTAGACACACACCAGGAGGACGTGCTCTCAGTCACTGTGTGTGGCAGCATGAGTGATGCTTCACTTTCTTGCTCAGTCCATCTTCTAATGATGAACTTGGATGTGGCCGAAGGACCAACCATGGTGGTCCTGAGCAGAGGGCAAGCTCATCTTCACCATCAGAAGGTGGTCCTTGCTTAGGGTTCTACAGGAAACACTCTTGATTCTGCCTTCAATTTTCTTTCTGTTTGCTGCCGTATTTGTACCAAGACTAAGAGTGAGGTTGATGGTTATTTGTGGGGATGGACTAGGAAAGAGAAGGCTGTTTGGGTAGGTAGCTTTCCCTGTCCAAGGTATATAGCCCTCCACCACTGGGAACTTACAAAGCTCTGTATGAAACCTTTGAGTATGGATTTTTGTGGCTCAGTAGAACAGGCCCACATGATTCACACCATCAGGGATCAAAGTTAAGTTGCCTTCTGAGAATTAAGACACAAGATACCATGTGCTGAGTGCCACAGCCAATTAGAATATTTTCTTTGTGCTTCCAGGTCAACACCATGACGCATCCTCAAGTCTTCATTTCAGGCCTCATACTGCTCCTCCCAGGTAAGTGAGTGGAGGGGTGTTGCGGAGGTTGGATGTGACATAGAAAGAATACATTCCTTCATATTTGCTGATTATGAATTGTGTAAGAGAACAGAACCAGGGTAATATTGGAGCTCTGAAGAAATTCTTTACTTGTATGTTTCAAAATTGATGGCCAAAAAAAATGAGAACCACAAAAGTATGTGAGGAGTGAGTCCACGAGCATTCATGTGATAGATTGGAAGGGGTGAGTACATGTGCATGCATGTGGTCGACTAGTAAGGGATGGGTTTGTGTGCATGCATGTGGTCGACTAGTAAGGGGTGATTATGTATAGGAGCATAGGATGAAGTTATTTCCTATCACATGTTTCCATAATTTCATTATAATACCATGTATTATATTTGTGTTCCTGAAAAGGTATTAGGTAAAAAAAATCAAGTATTCTGTGTCCCAGTATGAAATATACACTCATTTTTATACAATAAGAACTGTACTTTGTCAGGTCATATCCCAAACTCACAGCTTAGGTGATTAGTTAGTGAATCTCACAGTTGGTTGTTGTGTGTTCTTGGTTGTTTGGCTGGCTGGCTGGCTGGCTGGCTGGCTGGCTGGCTGGCTGGCTGGCTGGCTGGCTGACTAGCTGTTTGGCTGGTTGTTTGGCTGGTTGGATGGTTGGTTTGTTCCTGTGCTGGGACCCATCCAGGGCCTGGCACTGTATCACTGAGCTCCATCCTCAGACCTCAGAGTTTCTTCAGAGGCCACTGTGAAGGCAATTGACAGCAGAGGTTTTCTTCCACCATCCAAAAAGTCACATATTTAAGTGTTTTAGTTTTAGAAATTGAGTTCAGCTCAGTACTTAACCGAGGGAGTCTGCCTCTTCTGCGATCAGCCACTGAATGAAGTTTCTGTTTCCCAGACTCTCTGGCCATGGGATTGTAGGCTGGCACTCCCCAGATCTATGTCTAAAATCCCTATATGAGAGAGTACGTGCCATGTTTCTCTTTTTGTGACTGGGTTACCTCACTCAGGATGGTTTCTTCTAGTGTCATCCATTTGCCTGCAAATCTCAGGATTCCATTGTTTTTTTTCTGCTGAATAGTACTCCATTGTGTAAATGTACCACATTTTCTCTATCCACTCTTCAGTTGAGGGACATCTAGGTTGCTTCCAAGTTCTGGCTATTACAAATAATGCTGCTATGAACATAGTGTAACAGACATCTTTGTTGTATGAATGGGCATCTTTTGGATATATGCCTATGAGAGGGGTATTGCTGGGTCTTGTGGTAGGTTTATTCCCATTTTTCTGAGGAATCTCCATACTGATTTCCAAAGTGGCTGAACCAGTTGGCTCTCCCACCAGCAATGGAGGAGTGTCCCCCTTTCACCACATCCTCTCCAGCATAAATTGTTATTGGTGTTTTTGATTTTAGCCATTCTGACAGGAGTGAGATGGTATCTCAGAGTTGTTTTGATTTGCATTTCTCGGATGGCTAAGGATGTTGAGCACTTTCTCAAGTGCCTCTCAGCCATTTTAGACTCCTTTTTGAAAATTCTCTATTTAGTTCTGCAGCCCACTTTTTAATTGGGTCCTTTGATGTTTTGGAGACTTGCTTCTTGAGTTCTTTGTAAATTTTGGAGATCAACCCTCTGTCAGATGTGGGATTAGTGAATATTTTTTCCCATTCTGTGGGCTGCCTTTTTGTCTTGCTGACTGTGTCCTTTGCCTTACAGAAGCTTCTCAGTTTCAGGAGGTCCCATTTATTAATTGTTGATCTCACTGTCTGTGCTAGTGCTGTTATGTTCAGGAAGCTGTCTCCTGTACCAATTTGTTCAAGGGTACCACCCACTTTCTCTTCTAAGAGGTTCAGTGTAGCTGGATTTATGTTGAGGTCTTTGATCCATTTGGACTTAAGTTTTGTGCATGGCGATAAACATGGATCGATCCGCATTCTTCTACATGCCAGTCTCCAATTATGCCAGCACCATTTGTTGAAGATGCTTTCTTTATTCCATTGTATATTTTTAGCTTCTTAGTCAAAGATCAGATGTTCGTACGTGTGTGGGTTAATACCCGGGTTTTCAATTTGATTCCATTGGTCTACCTGTTTATTTTTGTGCCAATACCAAGCTGTTTTCAGGACTATAGCTCTATAATAGAGCTTGAGGTCAGGGATGGTGATGCCTCTGGACATTGCCTTGTTGAACAGGGCTGTTTTGGCTATCCTGGGTCTTTTGTTTTTCCATGCAAAATTGATTATTGTTCTTTCAAGGTCTGTGAAGAATTGTGCTGGGATTTTAATGGGAATTGCATTGAACCTATAGATTGCTTTTGGCAGGATTGCCATTTTTACTACATTGATCCTACCTATCCAAGAGCATGGGAGATCTTTCCATTTTCTGAGGGCTTCTTTAATTTCTTTCTTTAAAGATTCAAAGTTCTTGCGATACAGGTCTTTTATTTGTTTGGTTAGCGTTGCCCCAAGGTATTTTATGTTGTTTGTGGCAATTGTAAAGGGTGATGTTTCTCTGATTTCTCTTTCAGCCTTTTTATCATCTGTATATAGTAGGGCTACTGATTTTCTTGAGTTGATCTTGTAGCCTGCCACTTTGCTGAAGGTGTTAATCAGCTGTAAGAGTTCCCTGGTAGAGTTCTTTGGGTCATTGATGTAAACTATCATATCATCTGCAAACAGTGAAAGTTTGACCTCTTCCTTCCCAATTTGTATCCCCTTGATCCCCCTTTGTTGTCGTATGGCAATGGCTAGAACTTTAAGTACCATGTTGAAAAGGTATGGAGAGAGTGAACAGCCTTGTTTTGTTCCTGATTTAAGAGGAATTGCGTTGAGTTTCTGTCCATTTAGTTTGATGTTGGCTGTTGGTTTACTGTATATAGCTTTTATTATGTTTAAGTATGTCCTTGTTATCCCAGATCTCTCCAAGACCTTTATAATGAAGGGGTGTTGGATTTTGTCAAAGGCTTTTTCAGCATCTAGTGAGATGATCATGTGATTTTTGTTTCTCAGCTTGTTTATATGGTGGATTACATTGATGGATTTTTGTATGTTGAACCATCCCTGCATCCCTAGGATGAAACCTACTTGATCATGGTGAATGATTGTTTTTTGATGTGTTCCTGGATCCGATTTGCCAGTATTTTATTGAGTATTTTTGCATCAATGTTCATGAGGGATATTGGTCTGAAGTACTCTTTCTTAGTTGTGTCTTTTTGTGGTTTGGGCATCAAGGTTATGGAAACCTCATAGAAAGAGTTTGGCAAAGACCCTTCTGCTTCTATTGTGTGGAATACTTTGAGAAGAATTGGTATAAGCTGTTCTTTGAATTTCTGGTAGAATTCTGCACTGAGGCCATCTGGACCTGGACTTTTTTTGATTGGGAGACTTTTGATGACTGCTTCTATTTCCATAGGGGTTATAGGTCTATTTAAATTGCTTATCTGTTCTTGATTTAGTTTTGGCAAGTGATAGCTATCCAGGAAGTCATCCATTTCCTTTAAATTTTCTAATTTTGTGGAGTACAGGTTTTCAAAGTATGACCTGATGATTCTCTGGATTTCCTCAGAGTCCGTTGTTATGTCCCCCTTTTCCTTTCTGATTTTGTTAATTTGCATGTTCACTCTCTGCTGTTTGGTAAGTTTGGACAAAGGTTTGTCTATCTCGTTGATTTTCTCAAAGAACCAACTCTTCGTTGCATTGATTCTTTGTATTGTTTTCCTCGTTTCTACTTTATTGATTTCAGCCCTCAATTTGATTATTTCCTGGCATCTACTCCTCCTGGGGGAGTTTGCTTCTTTGTGTTCTAGAGCTTTCAGCTGTGCTGTTAATTCTCTGGTATAACTGTTCTCCAATTTCTTCGTGTGGGCACTTAGTGCTATGAACTTCCCCCGTAGTACTGCTTTCAAAGTGTCCCATAGGTTTGGATATGTTGTGTCTTCATTCTCATTGAATTCGAGGAAGTCGTTAATTTCTTTTTTATTTCTTCTTTGACCCAGGGATGGTGCAGTTGAGCATTATTCAATTTCCATGAGTTTGTGGGTTTTCTGCAATTTGTGTTGTTGTTGAATTCTAATTTTAAAGCATGGTGGTCTGATAAGATGCATGGAGTTATTCCAATTTTTTTGTAGCTGCTGAGGTTTGATATGTTGCCAAGTATGTGATCGATTTTTGAGAAGGTTTCATGTGTTGGTGAGAAGAAGGTATGATCTTTTTCATGTGAATGAAATGTTCTATAGATGTCTATTAATCCCAGTTGGGTCATTACTTCTATTAGAGCCTTTGCTTCTTTGTTGAGTTTCTGTCTGGTATTCCTGTCTAGTGGTTAGAGTGGTGTGTTGAAATCTCCCACTATAACTGTGTGGGGCTTTAGATGTGATTTAAGTTCTAATAATGTTTCTTTTATGAATGTGGATGCCTTTGTATTTGGGGCATAGATGTTCAGGATAGACAGTTCATCTTGGTGGGTTTCACCTGTGATGAGTATGTAATGACCTCCTTCATCTCTTTTGATTGATTTTATTTTAAAGTCTAGTTTGTTAGATATTAGGATTGCTACCCCCTGCTTGTTTCTTGGGTCCATTTGATTGAAAAAAATTTTCCCAACCTTTAACTCTCAAGTAATGTCTGTCTTTGAGGGTGAGGTGTGTTTCTTGTATGCAGCAGAAGGAAGGGTTCTGTCTTCGAATCCATTCTGCTAGCCTGTGTCTTTTTATGGGTGAGTTAAGGCCATAATGTTGAGGGATATTAATGACCATTGATTGCTCATCCTCCTTCGATTTTCAGTGGTTGGTGGTGGTGGAATTATGTGTGGAATTTCACCCCTTTGTTCTTTTGGCTGTTGGTAGAGAGGGATTATCTAATGCCTAACTTTTAAAAATTAGATTAGAGCTTGTCTCAGTGCATGTTTGTAATTCCATCTCAAGTGCAAGCAAGCTCAGGCTATAGAGCAAGACCCTGAACAAAAACAAACCAACAGATCAGGCATGGTGGGGCTTTAGCCCTAACCCTCAGGAGGTAGACACAGGGGAATCTCTAAGAGTTTTAGGCTAGCTAGTTTATAAGTGCATTCTAAGCCTGCCAGAGCTATGCAGTGAGCTCTGACTCAAAATGTGAAATGAAAGAAAAACAAACTAGCAACAACAACAAAAATAAGAGAGAAAGAGAGAGAGAGGGAGAAGAAGAAGAAAAGAAGAAGACAAAGAAGAAATGCTAGAGTGCATGTCTCTAATGCTTCGTGCCCCATGTTTAATCCTTGGTTGACACAAAAAAGAAAAAACCGAAAAAACAAATGCAGACATAATAATGAAATTGTCTGAAACCAATGAGAACTTATTCTGTCTCCCCTTCTTTTCTACAGCTGCTATAGAATCCTTCCCAGAAGTGCATGGAGTGGTGGGTCACCCTGTGACACTGCCATGTACTTACCCTGTCTCTCATGGAATCTCACCCATGTGTTGGGGCCGAGGGGCATGTTTTTCTGATAAATGTAATAATGTTGTTATCCTAACCAATGGCTACTATGTCTACTATGAGAGGAGCAATCGTTACCACCTAACGGGAAAGATTCTTCAAGGAAATGTGTCTTTGACAATAGAGAAAGTTACTGAGCGTGACAGTGGTCTCTACTGCTGTCAACTGGAAATGAAGCGATGGAATGGTGTACAGAGACTGACCATCTCACTGAGAGTTCAGCCAGGTAAGCCAGCCTTGTTGCTTTGCTTATGTCTTGCAAGTGAACCGAGTCCTCTGCTAATAATTTGCTGTTTTCCTAGAACAAAGACATGGAGGTTTTTATAAACATTTTTGCTGTTAAACACTTGATTTTGTTTTTTGTTTTGAATTGTAATCTCATGTATCTTGATGCTTGTAGCTCTCTAGTTCTGAGAACACAAGTAAATTTCATCACATGCAGCCTTAAATTCCCCCTTTGAGGCACAGAATACCTTTTACATGTTTGGATGAAGCTCTAAGATCAACCTTACTTCAAGACTAAGAGCTAAGCTAGGACCCAGGTCCTAACTGTATTTGGGACAGTCTTGTTGGTCCATGAAACCGCATCCACTGTTAATCCTGAAACACAGTGGGAGCTTTAGTTAAGCTGAAGTGACCTGAATGAAAGAGTATCCCTGTCTCTGAATTAATGTCTTGCAACATTAAGTCACCTGTCCTCAACACTATAGAAGCACTACAGTTGTAACCCGAAAAGCTGATGAGCTGGGTTCCACAGGGTCAGCTGACCTTGCTGAGCACAGGCACATGCATAGTGGAGAGTTCTACTCTATGTCTGCCCTGCCTTGGGCTTTTAAAATAGTACTCACATCACGTCATAAAATTATCCTTTGACATACAAAAATGACTAAGTGTAAAGTGTTTCTCTTCTAAAACTTTCCAGTGGTTTCCAGTGAGACCTTTCTAGTGAGAAGTTCATGAAAGTTCCTGTTCTTAAATCTTTATAATTTCCTTGGTGATGTGGACATCCTGATTTTCTTTTAGCTTTTAATTAAAGGCTGAGTCATGAGAGTATACCGTTTTCAGATGATAGGTCCTAATTCCCTTTACTAAGGGATTACACTGACAATAGAAGCCAATGGTAACCTATCTGTATTCTTTTTAAATTCGTACAACTATTTTGTAATTACTCAGTCCTATAATTTGCTATTTATTTTTATTTCTTTTATGTATTTGTTTATTGTTGATACAGGATCACAGTGTGTAGTATGACTGGTCTGGGTGTCCATATGTAGATCAGATTGGCCTCAAACATACATATCCAACTGTCCCTGTTTTCTGAGTGATGGGATTAAAGGCCTGTGTCACCATGTCTAGTTACATGAAATTATTAATAGTAGGCTTTAATCAAGCTTAGAAATTCTTTCATAGGTCACTGTTTAAAAGTCCTCTGGCTGGCTGGTCATGGGTCCACAAGTGACACTCTGCCTTGTCCTTAACAGCCAAGTCTACATTTTCTCCTGGTTTAAACACACAGAGTTTCCTCTCCAGTGGTCCTAGGCCCCTCATCAGCTCTTTGGACTTTCCCATCTACCTGGGAGAATAAAGTCCCAGAGCAAGATAAGCACAGCTCCTGAGCTATTGATTCTTTCCTGGTTTTGTCATCATAGTGATCTTCTGACTAGACTGTTCCCATGCTTGCTTTTCTCTCCCCTCAGAGATTTCTACTCTCCAGGGAGGGTTTGTATTGTGCTCAAGCCCCTGCCCACACAGTAGTCTGGTTCTTCAAACCATAGCCAGGGCCATCTCTGGTTATGTGGCAGACCCACTCACTGGTGCGAATAGTTCTACTGAAGCACAGCCACAGGACTGACTGCTATGTCGTTAGCTGTGGCTTTCAAACTAGTTGAGGTGTGTGCTTGCTGCTGAACACATGTTTTCAAGTTTCCAAGCTGAAAACATTCACTATTTGGTCTTTACAAAGAATAGGGCTTGGCAGTCTTGAGATGGCTCAGCTGGTAAGAGTACTTGTTGTCAAGCCTGGTGACCTGAGTTCAATTCCTGGGACCCACATGGTAGAAGGAGAGAAACAACTCTCTCAAGCTGTCCTCTGACCTCTACATATGGGCCACAGCACACACACACACACACACACACACACACACACACACACACACAAAGGGAGGCTTCATTCTCCACTTCCCTGCATATTATAGGTACATACATCCCTTTTCCTTCAAGACAAACACTATCTATATTCCAAATTATATTTTATCCCTTAAGGGAAAACCAAACCAAACCAATTATTCTCAGTTTCCAAGGTTTTGTTTTGTAGTTAGCCAGGTTAGGATTGAAGGAAGCTGCTTATGAGGAAAACTGTCAGCTGACAAAAACACTGTGTTCCTGCTGTAGTCCTTCACTCATTATTTCTTTCTGGCCACTGTTTCCCCTTAATTCCAGAATTGGGTTTCTGCACAGTCTCAGACAATCAGTAGCTGCTGGGATTCTTACAGCCCTCCTGACTCCCCTGATTTGTGAATTACTGATCAAGCAAGCCTAATATGAGAATCCAAAGTCTGAGTGTAAGGAAAATGTGGCAGAGAAGCATATTCCATCTCAAAACTGGCTGAGACTGCTTTATTGGAACAGCCAGTGAGGAGCCCTGTGGAATGATACTTGAGTGTGTTTAAAGGGGCAAGGAACACACACACACACACACATACACACACACACACACAATAATACACATTCTCTCTCTTTGTGTGTGTGTGTGTGTGTGTGTGTGTGTGTGTGTTTGACTCAATGTCCTCCAGAGTTGCCTTTGTGAGGTACTCCTATACTCACGTGATCCACCTTTTGGCTGCCATTCCATGACACTGATCCATTAAAATGGACCTTTGATGAAATTCACAGAGATAGCAGATATTAGATAATGGTGACCTCTAGATTTTGAAAGGGAAATCCTTAGTGTGGACTGTCTCCAGGCAGACAAAGTAAATGAAAATAGAAACCTCAAGACAGAGTAGACAGTGGCAGCAGCATGCTACTCTTCTGGGATGTGAGAAGAGAAGACAAGAAAGAGTTTGGGTTCCCTTTCTAAAATGTGATATCAGAGAGCTCTCCAGATTGAATCAGTCATTGGAGCATCATTGTTCCTAGGATTATTGAGACCAGTGGCTTTTAGTCTTGTATCAGAAGAATTTGGACCAAGTTCTTACTGTACCCATGCCAGCCTTCAGTTAGTAAACATTTGCAGAAACAAAGACTAAAAGGAATTTGGTTTGTCTCATGGCCCATCACGCTGATAGATGCCTTCTAATACATGCTGTCTTGTTTAAGTACGTAAAGGCCGTTTTTTTTTTCTTGGTTGCTGTTGCTAGACTGAGAAAATAATAATTCTACTTGGAAGACATACAGATTCCATTTAAGCTCTTAGATACTAGTTTGTACACCTTTGCACAAGTTATTGAATGGTCCTCACTAGAAAAAGGCGATGATATTATCTGTGAAACAAATTTCACAATATCCATCCCCCTCCTCACTGCTCCTTCCATGACACAACAAAAATGATATTACCAAAACTGGTATTCTCCAGCATAGTGTTGAGTTTTATGCACACATGTCTGTTTAGCAGACAACCTCAATTATGAAGGTCGCTTTGCTAATGGACATGGTCAACTTTGGGTTCAAATTTTGCCTGACTCACCATCATGCTTCCTTACTGAATCACTTACTTTTATTTCTAGAAGGTCTTACTTATGTCAGGTCTTAAGTCACAAACAAAGCCTAGACTGTAGATGACACCTAAACCTACTAATTGTCTTTTGTTCCTTGGAAATGCTCCCAGAATAAGTAAATTATAAGAAGAAAGATGTGAAAATTTAGAAGGGCTATGGGTCATTTATGTTATTTATGGTGGGCAGTGTTAGGGTTAGCAATAGTTAGGGATGTCCATTTATTGGAATGGTACTGGGCATATGGGTTACCAGCAGATATTTTCCTCATTTGTTAAATTTGGAAAGAAATATTAAATCATTTGTCTTCTGTTTATTTTCTGTAAGAGGCAGTTAAGGAACTTACCATGATATAAAGTGCTTATGTATTGCAGATACATCAGAAATAGAAATCAGTACCTGAGACATAGGCAAATAGAAATAATAAAAGAATATAATCTCTGTTAGAAAATAAGTATCTCAGAAACAGTCTGATATGTAAAAGGAGTTCAGTGACTCTCCTGCTATGTGAAATTTGAATCCTTACATAAGAGACACATTGGCTTGTCGGTGATATTACAGATGAATTTTAAAGTAACTCTGATCCAAGTTGAGGTGCTGTTTACACATTAGGTGAGAATACACACTGGCTAATTTTCATGTCATGGTAGTTCCATGCTGAGTAGACTCATCCTGACATTTGGATGTGTGTGTGTACTGACTATCCTCAGCTCTTGAGGAAGTATAAGTCATTGGCACCTTAAACTGTTCCACAATTAACTTCTCTGGCTCCCCTAAATTTGTAGATAAACCTGGGCATATAAATGGGAGTTTTTTCCTCATATAAACAGCAAGAAGAGTTCATTTCCATGAGAACAGAACAGAAAGGGTAAGATGCAAAACTTCCTAAGGAAATTTAGTAAAATGTTAAGCAGTTAGTGTCATGTTCTGAGTGCCCATGGTATTTGACAAGGCTGTTTTATATTCAAGCCATTATTGAAGGTGCATAAATATAATTAGGGTCTGTAGTGAAAATCTAATTTTTCCTTTATGCTGAGCAGATTGAAATGACACTGTGACAGTATCTGCAGATCACCCTGGATCCTCCCGCATCAATAGTCAGATTCACTTGTCTATCTTCCTGGAAGCATGTTGCCTTTCAAGACTTTGTCCAAAAACTTAGGTCTCAGCCCTTTGGCTCAAACAAAAGGAGAAGGAAAGAAAAAGAGCCAGCCATAGCGGTGTATCCCTTAATCTTAGGATTCAGGAAGCTGAGACAAAAGGTCACAAGTTTGAGGCTCCCAGAACAAACTGCACTACATAGTTAGACATTGTACAAAAATAAAAAGATATTTGTAAGTACATAATAATAAAAAAATTAAAAGAACAAAATAAGTTAGCCCTTTAAGAGGATGTTTGCTTCTAAGATGCCTAATAAATGATATTTTAGAGATGCCTAATAAATGGTATTTTACAAATCAGTGAAGGTAGGAAAAAAGGGAGAGAGAGGAGAAAGGGAGGGCGTGACAGAGGATGAGGAAGGAGGGAGACTGGGACAGGGAAAAGTGGAATGGGGAGATACAGAGATTTCTGATTCTTTCTATGATCAAAAATCTCAGGAGAAAAAAGAATGAGCTAATTCATGGCAAGAAATTCATTCCATGGAAGACCTCACTTATCATTAGAGACATGAAGTCTGGAATCAACAGAACAGAGTCGAGGCCACAAGAAATCTAACTGCAATGGAATATAAAGAGTGTTCCGATAAAGACGGCCACACTGGTTAGAATGCCACTCAGCATCCTATGTAGAGCCTCAGTACTCTGATAAAGATTGCCACGCTAGTTCCACACACTGAGCATTCTATATAAAGCCTGTGGTGATATTTTCCTTACAAATACCTCCCTATAAGGTAATAAGGTCTTAGACAGGTTTGATTCTGCAGAATCCTTCTAGACTTGTTTTACAGTGAACTCTAGTTTAAGGAATGCTTGCCTGAGTTCTGTCTCTACAAATACAATTAGATTTCTTTTTTTTTCTTGGCTGTTGGAAGAAATAGCCTTTACTTCAGTATGTGTAAGGAACACAGAAGAAAGAAGAAACGAAGTTCAAAGTCAGAGAAGAACCCAGATAGGAGGTTGTAAGGAAAACGTGGCTGTGGAAAGGGCAACTCTGGACTGGGTGCAGCATAGCCCTTTTTAGCATGTGCAAGGACTATGGCTTTTGAGTTTGGTCTCTAGCAGAACACCTTCCAACAAAAACAAAGCAAAACACCCAGAAGGTGTAGACATGAGGAGCAGAAGTTCATCATTTTGGCTGCCTAGTGAGTGCCAGATCAGCCTAAGGTATATGAGACCCTGTCTCAAAACCAACACAAATTACTTTATATCCCCACGGTGTTTGTCAAGAATACCTGAGAATCTCTTTCCTGAGAATCCACTAAACACACTGTTTAAGGATGTAGAGTCAGGGCTTACAGAGCTTAACTAACTTGTACTTGGTCTCCCTGACTAAGCAGATCCTCCCTTTCCTTGCAGTTAAACCATCCATGGGCTCTGGTGAGGGTTAGTAGATTAATACTAAACTATTAAAGGGGCCTCACCTGTTGCCCAGCCTATGTCCTGCTTTTTCCAGTATGTGCTGATCCCTAATCACCTGAGTCTGGACACTAGGAGAGATTCCTCATTTCTTTCTGATCATGGGGTGTTAATCATGCTGCATCCAGGAGCAGTTTCCTCTGAATGGTTTATAAAAATGTAGATCTTGCCGGGCATGGGGACCCATAGTTTTAAAGCCAATCAGCCATCGTGGAGCAGAGTCTGGTTCATCTCTGTGAGTTCAAGGGCATCCTGAGTCTACATAGTGAGAACTGAGACAATCTCTTAAAAAATGTAGCATCTACAATTGCCTTTTACAAGATAAGTAGGGTCTGTGATGAAAGACCAGACCAAGTAGCTATGCCCATTGGAGTAATATCAGAGCATGTCAACTTAGAGAAGAGCCATTGTTCTTCTCAGTAGAGATATACTCTACTGACTGTTAACACAGATATAAACACAAAAATGATGTATTCCTTAGAATTTTGACAGAGATATACATCCATGTAATCACTCTGAGCAAAAAAAGAACACATTTCCATGGTCCTTGAGTATACTTTATGGCCTCAAGTTCCACTGTGCATGACTATCTCTGATTATTTAGTCTTACTGAGTATTCTAGATTAGCTTCAGGCCAATAAAGGTAAAGTCTATGTTAAGGTCTAGGATGTGTTTTCTGTTCCTCTCATTCAATGCCTCTTCAGTTTACTGCTATTTCCCTAGGAAATGATCCAACACTGAATCCAAAAACGATCATGAAAAAAGGCTTCTATATTGGAATCTCCATTACCTTGATGCTTCTACTTCTTGTGAGCATAATGGTTACTACAAGTAAGTAATTTTAAGACAGATCCCAATGGTTATAATAAATGACCACAGAACCCAAAGAATGTTTTCTCTTTAAAACTTTTTTATTTATTTTACATACCAACCACAGTTATCTTCCCCCTTCCCCTACATCCCCCCCCAACCCATCCTCTATCCACTCCTCAGAAAAGGTGACACCTCCCATAGAGAGTCAACAAAGCCTGGCACATTAGGTGATGAAGGGCCAAGCCCCTCCCCCTGCATCAAGGTTGAGCAAGGCATCCCACCATAGGAAATGGGCTCCAAAAAGCCAGTTCATGCACCAGGGACAGAGTCTAGTCCTACTGCCAGGACTGCACAAACAGACCAGGCTACACAACTGTCACCCACATGCAAAGGGCCTAGTTCAGTCCCATGCAGGTTCCCCAGCTCTTGGTCTAGAGTCCTAGAGCTCCCACTAGCTAGGGTCTGCTGTCTCTGTGGGTTTTCCCATCATGCTCAACCCAGAGAATTTTTGCAAAGCAAAAAGTTTTACTTGTACAGAAGCGTGCAAAGCCACTTTAATCCACAGTGGGGTCTCAACGGGCCTTTATGTGTAAATCACTGGGTCCTATGCCTCTCTTTCTGAGTGCTCAGAGCTTGGCCTCACTTTCTATGAGACCAGCCATGTAAAGCAGTGCAGTGACTAGAGAGAATGGCGTCTGAGGATAGAATTTGACCCTAGGGAAACGCTTACTCCACAGCTATTCTTGTCTTGTGGTGTCTTCCCACGTTTCTTTCAAGATGACACTTCCTCTAACTTATTTAGCTTCTTGGTAGAAGACAGTACATTTCATTTATATTTCCCAGACCAAGGAACCAGAGCAAGGATTCTTAGCCATTCCTTCTGCTATGGGGTCTATATTTCACATGATTTCTCTGTGTTCCTCAATCCATCATACATATTGTAGTTCCTTCTGGATCCCAGGGATGTGTTAGGACCTAATAAGCACCGAAATTATTTCTAACATCTGTGAAATGTTCTGGGACCTTGGTTTTTTTTTTGTCACTGTGTGTATCTGCAAAAGCAGTGAGTGCTCTTAACCACTGAAGCCAAGTCTCTAGCTCCAGCCATATTTTATATTACTTCTTTTTTTTATTATAATGTAGAAGTATCATTTCCCCTCCCCCTTTCTCCCTCCAAGCTCACCCACATACCACTGTGTGATCTTGCAAATTCATGATCTCTTTTCATATAAATTATTACATGCGTGCATATATATGTGTATGCATATATATTCCTAAATATAGCTTCCCCAGTCTAGCTATTGTTCTTTGCATGCATGTTTTCTTTGTTTCAAGACATGGAATATGAGATCATTATTGACCTGTTTCAGAATATGCCTGAACATCAAGCTTCAGGATGTTTCCCTCTAATTATTTGGATCGTACTTGTTCAAAATAATTATTTAAGCTGGCTCTGGTGGTATGCACCTGCAGTTCCAAGACTTGGACTGCTGAGGCAGAAGAATCATAGCTCATGGACTTTAAGAGGGAAATAGAAATTGCATAAAATACTACAAATATGTTCCCTTTCTTAGCCCAAAGTTGTTTATTCTCCCCCGGGGGAGGGTGGTTACTGGGAGTATTTGGGGAGGAATTGGGAATAGGTGGGGAACAAGTGGAGCACACCTCCTGAAGTACACCAGGGAGGGGGTGAAAGCCAACCTAGTGTCCCTTCAGTGAATGTTTTTAAAGAGTCCTTGATGGAAGAGATCGTTAATAGGACCTTGTGTCACAGGTCACCTTGGAGAGCCTACGTTTAGCTTGTTCTCCATCAGCCAAATTAAAAACCTAGACTTCCTTATTTCTTTCAGTGAAAGACAGTTTACCAATGCCATTCTAGCATGTTAGGGATGCTTGTGCGGGTGAGTGCACCAAACCATGAATGAAGAGAAGAAACTTCCTGTGGGGTGTAGGAAGGAGCCTCCTGGTTACCAGGGACTGGTTCAGCTAAAACCAGAAACAATATCCTTGATTAGAAGATAAAAAGCACCATGAGTGTTTTTGAGGACATGTTCAATTTTATTTTCAACTACCCCTGCCTCCTCTCACCCATATTTAGAGTGCATCCTCCTGAAAAAGAAGCCAGGATCTCTAAGGTAAGCGGACATGTCTGTGTCAATTGCTCTCGAACTTGCAGAGTTTTGTTGTTATTGTTGTTCCTTTCCTTCTCCTCCTCACATTTATCCTCCTCTTCTCGCTGTCCCAACTTTCCCCCTCTTCCTCTCCTCCCTCTCTGCTCCCATCTCCCTCCTCCTCTTCTCCCTCGCCTCCTCCTTCATTTTCTAGGCAGACAGCTCTTGCCTGGTTTCCATTGCTCACCTTGATTCTAAAATTACCTTCCTGAGCCCCTCTCTTGTTACTATACCTCCCAGGGAGGTGTCAGCATTCTGATTCCCCTACCTTTGTGTCTGAACTGGTACTGAAGGAGCCTCTCAGCACTGATAGCTTTTCTCAAGCACTGAGTGGCAGATTTTGCTCTTTGGAGTTCAATTGAATAAGTTACTTTGATTTCCCTTTTCCATTTATTTAATGATTCCTTCATTGGGTGCCTATTGTATTATAAACTTGTGAATGGGGTAGAGACCTCCCTCAGTGTTTATGCTCTTGCACAGGACCCAATCTTGGCTCCTAAGAGCAATGTCGTAGGGCTCACAATTGCCTGAATTTCCAGCTCCTGGGTGGGGTGGGGGGGGTTAACATCTGCATTCATATGTACATATGCACATACACATAATTTAAAATAAAACTTAAAAAGACAACTAGGCTGAGCAGTGGTGCCACATGCCTTTAATCCCAGCACTTGGGAGGCAGAAGCAGGCGGAGCTCTGTGAGTTTGAGACCAGCCTGGTCTACAAGAGCTAGTTCCAGGACAGCTTCCAAAAGCCACAGAGAAACCCTGTCTCAGAAAAAAAAAGACAACTTGTGGGCACACATGTTATTCATATACATACATTCAAGCAAAAACATACGCATAAATACGTAATCAATATTTTTTCTAAAAACTGATGAAAAATCAGAAAATATATAAACTATTAGGTCATTTTAGGAGAGCTTCCAGGCAAGAAGCGTGGGGATGATAAGGTCACCTGTTTGGTGGGTTGTGTGAGTGAGACCCAGGGAAGCAGAAGATTTGAAAGATGGTAATTCTTGCAGCATTAAGGAGTGCAAAGGAACCCCGGCAAGGCATCATACTGAGTCCTCATCACTCACTTCTACTAGAGTCTGTCTGCTTTGTAGGCTATTTAATTTACTGTGTCTGTAAAGTTTTTTCAGTCTCTCCCCCCTACAAGCCATGTAATTATCTTCACTGATATACAGTCATCTATTCTGTTTCATTTTGTTCAAGACTGACTCTATATAGGAGTTTTTTTTTCAATCAAATTTCACAGTCATCTGGTTACTGTCCACTGCACCTAGTTCTCTTTTGTGGCCTGTTTCTACAAAGACTTCTCTGGGTTAATCACATGAGCCAATCCACAGCCAATGTATCTAGCTGTTATTGTTTCTGAACAATCCTTCACAATATGACTACATTACATACCAAGTAATGTTATTCTAAGCATTCTACATTTGGAAAACGGGTTCAGAAAGAAAGATATCCCAGGTCATACTATGTAGAACATACTATGTAGAGACCTCACTCTTAGAACATCACTTTTAGGCCTCAGTATTTAGAATTATTTTCATTAACTTCTGAAATGGAAAGGAAATACTCCTGATAGATGAAAAACACAGCATTTATCTAACCATTGCTTTCCATTTCTGACTTTGTATCTTTTTTCAAAAGTTTTATTAATTCTCATTTTTTATTGTATGTACATGTGTGTGTTCCTATGAGAAGGATAAAGAGAAAGAGAGACAAGGAACAAGGGAAACAGAAAATGTTTGAGTCTGTTGTATACACATATGTGTACACAGAGGTAGAGAAGGGTGTTGGATGCACTCTGCTGTCTCTCTCTACCCTTGGCCATGGAGGCAGGGCCCCTTCCTGACTGGATATCATCTGTTTCCAGTGAGGCTGTCAGCCAGAGAGCCCTGATGATGTTCCTATCTCCATTCTGGGGTTATAGACATGTGAGGGTGCTTGGCTTGCTGCATGGTTGCTGGGCCTGAACTCTGGCATTCCTGTTTTACAATGAACATACTGATCCCTAAGTCATGTCTCCAGCCCCAACTCTTGGATTTGTTTCATTATTATCATTATTATTATTTGGTTAAAAATAAAAACACTGAAGAAAATGTAACATATAAAAAGAAAAACAAGCTGTTTGAGGCCAGCCTAGACTTCTAGCAAAAACAGTAAAAACAAAAACAACAAAACTAAGCTGGCAAGTAAACCCAGTCCACTACTTGATAAATGCCAGGCAAGTTTTGTTCATGTTCTTTGTAGTTCTCAGGGAAGGTATGTTCATTTTCGTTCTACATGTCAGTAGTAGAGATGGCCACTGTGTGCAAATGACAAAATTCTACTGTGTTGAGACGAGTTAAAGTTAGTCTGTTTTCTGCTCTGATTTGTTCCTCCAAGAGTTCTAGAAGCTCAAATATCAGTCCACTGTGACTCCCCTGATTAACATGGGCAAAGAATGAACTCTCCAAGTGAAGCTCCTCCCACAGCTGATGGCACGGCCAGTGCACAGATACCAACAGGGCTCTCCCAAAATTAGTTACTTGGCCTCAGATACTCAACATTTTTATGCTTGTGTCATATGTATGTCATACATGTATGTAATCTTTGGGACTGTGTCATGGACCACCAACTTTTGTGAAAAGGTGCTGCATTTTTTACATAGTTTTGTATTCTAGGCTTAATGTTAGAGAAGGTAGAAACTATGCAAATTTCAAAACCCTGGCCTTTTAAATAAGAATCTATTTATTATTGGAGAGAGAGAGAGAGAGAGAGAGAGTGTGTGTGTGTGCGTGTGTGTGTGTGTGTGTGTGTGTGTGTTCCAAGGCACCTGTGGAAGTTGGAGGAAAACTCTGTGGAACTGACTCTTTCCTTCTAACTTTATATGGGTTCCAGGGATCTCACACATGTCACCAGGCTCTCCTAATGCATTCTAGAGGGTCACAGTGCAAAGCTGTAAATAAAGCAGTCATCCTGTTCCTAGCCTAGTTCCCGAGTGCACATCTGGATTAGGTAACTCAGTTCAATGGCAGGTATCTGTCTCTTTGGATCTTCTACTATATGTTCTGTCACGTGCATATCCTGGTGGATGACAATATGAACTGACATTTTTTAAAACAATTCCCGTTTGGTCTGATGCCTATTAAACATGCTTTCCTATGACTTAATACTAGGGCCCTGTGTGGCACTGTTCATTGTTATAGTTTTTGTGGATGGGACTCCTTGAATTCTGAGTATATACCATAAATGAAAGCTCTGCTCAGACCTGAAAGGTGATCTCATGTTGTCTTTTAACACCCCCCCTTCTGCAGCTTGGTAACATTCTATGTCTCTAGGACCAGAACTTTACAAAATACAGAGAATGTGCGACCACGAGCCCAAGAGAACATCTACATTATTGAAGATAATCTTCCTGTCTTCCATTAAGTTGCAGTAGAAAATGACAAGATATCACCAAGCTGATCACACTTTTAAGCTCCAGGACTATTTTCTGTGTTTGTTCATCGGGTATTCCTGCTCCTCAGCAATGGTGGAAAAGATGATCTGCCAGCTGTCTGTCCTCACACTCACTGTTAAAATGATGTCCAGTCTCTCCACTCATTGCCGAATATTTCCTCAAACATGAACATTTAACATTTGGGGTTTCCTGTAGGCCCCATAATTCTTTTGTCTCTAAAAGAAAAATCTTTGGTAATGCAGGAAATGGACTTCTGTCTTGGTGACTAAGACCATCCAGCAGAGAGGACTAGGATTTAAGTCAGAAATAAAACAAAAACAAAAGTGGGGAGGGTGAGATTTAATTTAGAAGCACTTCATGATGATGTCTTGTCTATTTATCATAACTCAAAATGTCACCTACCCTTACCATCTCCAAGGGACTCTAGTCATGAGAGTTACAGGTTTTAATTTCCTTTATAGATGAACAGAAGTGAGTTTAATATCACCCACCATGAGAGGTGTGTAGACTTTCTCATGGATCTTGAAATACGGTGTGTTGTATGTGGCTAATTTTAGGATAATAATGGATGTTTCATGTCAGGAGAGGTTTCCATGGTGAGTACGGCCCAGGCAGACATCAGGAGAAGAAAATAATAGACCAAGGGATTGAGGGTATTAGTGCTATTTCCACCACAGTCTGACTTGGTACTCACCCAATGGGCTCTGAATTAGGTGCTAGTATGAGACAACGCAGAAATGAAGGGAGCAGGACACAGGCTCTGCCTGAGAGAAGTCCTAGTCCAGGTGTGACAGAGTTTGGGACTGTCACTGGTTCATTTGGAGTTCTAAATGTATAACTGTCTCCAGATCATATTTACATTTAAATTTATTTCTGAATTAGGTGCTAGAATGAGAGACAACGCAGAAATGAAGGGAGCAGGACACAGGCTCTGCCTGAGAGAAGTCCTATTCCAGGTGTGACAGAGTTTGGGACTGTCACTGGTTCATTTGGAGTTCTAAATGTATAACTGTCTCCAGATCATATTTACACTTAAATTTATTTCAAAAAGACAAAGTATTTTTCACAGTGGATCAATTTGTCACAATCAATGAAATACTTGGTTTTGTCGAGAGTTAACAAAGGCTGTTGTGTTGGTATCTTCCATTGCCAGTTTGGTTGTTGAGAAGAGCAGAGTTTGCAAGAGGGTAATAATTTCTATTTCAGTTTTAGTAATCCTTGATGCTCAAACCATAGGGGAGAGGATACTGGATCTCAGTCCACATTCCACCGCTGTTCTACAGAGTTCTAGGGAATAAGTATGTGTCTGATTGGGGGCTTCTTGGAGAAGGACAGAGCATTGAAGGGTTGCTGAGTGGGGTTTCCTCATCTGCTCTAGAAACCACAGTGTTTTCTTTTTATTATATTTGAGGCAGTTACACATCAAATTAGGGCTTTAGCTTCCTGGCTCCTTCATGATTCCCTGTCTGGTGGCTGCCAGGTTCTGCAGTTGTGATGCCTGTACTGTCCTTCAGTCGTCCTAAGGATGTGTGATAGATGTTTGCAGTCAAGAACATGATACTAGTGCATTATGTGAAACTGAATGTATGGAACTCAATGGAAAACAGAGAATACACATGAGTAAGACCAAGCCCTGGGCTCTAATCCTAACACTGAGTAGCAACAGTAGGATAACTTGTTCTGTGTTCCTATTTCTTTCTGTCTTTTTTGTTTCTTTTTTTCAAGATAGGATTTCCCTGTGTAGTTTTGAAACCTGTCTAGAATTAACTCTTGTAGACCAGGCTGGTCTTGAACTCACAGAGATCCGCCTGCCTCTGCCTCCCAAGTGCTAGGATTAAAGGCGTGTGCCAACACCTCCCGGCTCTTTCCAACTATTTGATATTACCATTTCCACACTGACCTTGAGAGTTTCTGAGGAATTGTGGGGATTGCTCATGGCTAAGAGTGTCTGCTGCTCTTGCAGAGGACCTGGGTTGGGTTTCCAGCACCCACAGTGGGAGTTTTATATATGCCTGTGACCCTAGCTCCAGGGGATATGTCACTCCCCTTCTGGCCCTGTGGGTACACATAACTACATAAATATAAATAAATAATATAAATAAATCTTAAATGAAATAAAAATGGGTCTTTGAAGATGGAAAACCTACAGAGTGTGAATTTTCCCACAATAAAATTTCATAATAGTAAGAGATCAGGAGTTTGTGTTCAGTAAATGACTTAACTATTGTTACATTCATAAACCTCTTATATGACATCTTTCCTTAAAGAATGTTTTCATTAGAAATACTTCATTCTTTGTAATTCTCTCACACCACAGGGAAAAAAATGCTAACTCAAGGGATCAATAGGATGGAAGGAAAGGCATTTAGTTATCATGAAAAAATCCCATATATGTGGTTTTTAGCTTTACCTTGTTTTGTTTTGTTGAGACAAGATCTTGCTAAGTCACCTCTGTTGTCCTGAGATTTCCATCTGTACATTAGGCTAGCCTGGAATTTTCAGAGAGCTACCTACCCCTGTTTCCTGAATGCTGGCATGGAAGTTGTGTACTGCCTTGCCTGGGACAAGACTTGTTTGATCACATTGAATGGTGTTTCAATATTGATCTCCCGAGACACTGTCGATTCCATTGCCTGCACTCTGCCTTGGAAGAAGATAGTTTCAACATTTGACTGTATGCACATTCATTAATAAAATGCATGGTTTGTGCTCATCTCCAAGGCTGTAAGCCTTGGTGCTGAGGAAGAGCAGCAGCGGGTGAGGAAGTAAACTGCCTACGGAGGGGGCAGAGGCTGAACCGAGCTAGTCTTGGCGACTAGGAGGCTACAGTGGAGCAGGTCTCGCTGAGCAGTAGACTGCAGGAAGGAGAGCTGGGCAGAGCCTGCACTGGGGAGGAGCAGAAGACAATCCAGCCCACAAGCAGGGTCACTTTGTAGGCAATGCATGCACTCTGGTTTGAGGACAGCAGGCCCTCACACACATCCTCTAACAACAGTGTCTCCCCGGGGACCACCCTGCCAGGATGGACTTGAGCTCTGTGTTCTTCGGGATCAGCTTGGAAGGAAAAGGAAGCACTCCCTGGGATGTAGAAGGGAGACTACTGTAGCTCTGAGCATACACCATCCCTCTCCCCTCCATCACGCTCTACCAGTGTCTTCCCAGGTCAACTCGGTGTCACCTGGAAGGAGGGCATGGGAGGCTGGAGTGGGACCTGAGCTTTCAGGTCATGACCTGCCTGTTCTTTCTGACACAGTCCCGTCCACCGCATGGGCCTGGAACTCCGGCTTTGTCACTGAAGGGGTGGAATGCAAACTATGAGCTAGGGAGAGAGAGACTCGAGCCCATGGAGGCCACAGGCTTCTGCTGGCTTCAGGAGGAAGAGGGAGCTAATGCACAAGAGTCCCCTGGCCTTTGGAAGCACATCAGATGGACTCCAGTTAGAGAAGAGTTTCCCTTGTGAAAATAAATGCACTTGGCAGCAAAAAAAAAATGTGGGGTTTGGGGGCTAGACTTGTGGCTCATCAGCTAAGCACACTAGCCACTCTTCTAGAGGATCTGGTTTGATTCCCAGCACTTACAAGGTGGCTCACAGTGTTCTGAGCTCTAGCTCCAGGGGATCAGACACTTGCTTTAGGCATTTATGGAAACTGCAAGCCTGTGGTTCACAGGCATACATGCAAGCAAAACACCCATACACACCAAGTGACAAAATAATAATAAAAAAATAAAAGGTATTGTGCCTCTTAAAAATGACTTTTTTTCATCAGTCACTGGATGAAGGTTCTGTTTCCCAGACTCTCTGGCAATGGGATTGTGTGCTGGCACTCCCCTGATTCATGTCTAAAATCCATAAATGAGTGACTACGTACCATGTTTCTCCTCAGATACACACAGATAAATACTGAATTCAACTCCTGGAATCCAGTATCAGAAAGGGATAACTGATGGGCAAAGGAGTTAAGACTGGGTTGGTGTAACCCACAGAAACAGTTGACCTGAACAAGGGGGAGCTCTTGGACCCCAGGTTAATGGCTGTATGGAAAGCATGGGACTGACCCAAGCCCCCTGAATGTGGGTTCCAGTGAGGAGGCCTAGGTAATCTATGGGGCCTTAGGTAGTATTTATTTCTAAAATACAAGTTGACTTTGAGTGCCCATCCCACAGTGAGGGATGTTATCTCAGCCTGGACTCTTGAAGGAGGGCCTAGATCCTACTACCCTAGATGACATGACTCTGGAGATCTACCATGGAGGGCCTTACCCTCCCTGGGGATCAGAGTGGAGATGGGTGGGGAGCTGGGGCCTGGTGGGAGGGATGGGGAGGAGGGGAGGGAAAGGGAGCTGGGATTGACATGTGAAACAAACTTGTTTCTAACTTAACTTTAAAAAAAGGAAAAAAGAACAATAGCCATGTAACATCATAACACATCAAAACATAAAAATAAAATACTGTCAAAAAATGACTTTTTTTTCAGGTTCACCACTTCATTTGAATAGGCATTTTCATCTTGCTATGGGGAGTATTCCCAGCGTGTGAACAGATGTGTCAACAGTTGTCAGGGGAACTGGGGAGATGGCTAAGGCTATAAAAGGATTTTCCCAAGAGTGAAGACCCGAGGTTGAATATAAGGACCCATGTGAAAAGCAGGATATGGCTGTGTGTATCTGTAATCACAGACTGGGAAGAAAAGACACAAAAGCAAAGAAATGGGTATTCCTCTGCACAGAAATATTATATCAGGTGAGCCAACCATGGTGGTACCTGCTGTTAGTAATTTCAAGACCAGCCTGGTCAACTTAGTGAGTTCCAGGTAGACAGGGCTACATAGACTCTGTCTCAGTGGTGGGGGTGGGGAGTACGTAGGGGGTTTAATGAGGTGATGGGCACACATGTTGGCACCCTGGATTAGGATTCTGCATAAGTCACAAACTATTCAAGTTCTTTCATTTCTGTTAGTCTCTGCTTCCCTTTCTGTCCAAGGGGAGGCCACTGAGACCTCTAGATATCCTGTCTTAGAAAGTGCCCTCCTGCCTCTTTAAGAAGCTTGAATATTCACAGATTGGCCAAATATATAATGAAAGATATCTATAATTTTATTTAAAAATAGTCACTTAGTTCATGTCTTGTATAACATTTCTGTATCAGCTTTTAATCAGTCTCTCTCTCCCTCTCTCTCTCCCTCTCCGTGTGTGAGTGTGTGTGTGTGTGTGTGTGTGTGTGTGTGTGTGTGTGTGTGTGTGTGATATTATGAGTCCTTGGGATTGAACTCAGGTATCAGGCAAGTGCTTTTATTCATAGAACCAATTTGCTAGCTATTACTTAAAAGGTTAATAAGAATTGATTCTATTTCAGTTAGATATTAAGTAACCTTAGTGTAATGGATTATTAGTTGTTTTCATATTTACCTTGGGCTGGCACTGTTGCTCATATTCTGGGCTAAGGGATTGATGAAATGAAATCAGGGCTCTTTCTAGTTGGATGTAAACCATCAGCTTCCTCAGATGTCAGCTTCATAAGGAGGAGCTAAATTCTTCCTAGGGTCAAGGAAGTTGTTCAGGAAGTCAAACAGGATAGAAGAAACTGATCTCAGAGAACTTCACAGAGGCCTGGAGCAGACAGGCCTTGAAGTCTCTCAGCCTCTGAACGGGAGCCTTCCTTCCACAGCTCAGTCAACTCCAGGCCAAGAGATGATGACTAGGACCTAGTGGTCAACTTTAGCATGAGAAAACGGGGGAGTAGTGTGGGAAGACAGGAAGAAGGCAGATCCTTGTGAAATTTGAAGCTAGCATGGTCTATATAGAAAATAAGTTAGCTTGGACTATCTACAGAGTTTAACATAGTAACACCCTACCCAGATGGACGGACGGACAGACAGGAAAGGAAGGAGGAGAGGAAGGGAGGGAAGGAGGGAGGGAGGAAGGAAGGAAGGAAGGAAGGAAGGAAGAAGAAACTGCAGCCAGCCTACCTAAGCCCCTGTCCCCAGTGCCCAGGCCAGCCCACAAGCACGTGCCCATGCATGATATGCACTTCCTTTCTAAGCCAAGCCTCCAATCCTGCCTCAACTCCTAGAGACACTGAGGGAGGGACAAGTGACCCAGAGATAGCAATGAAAAAAAGGACATCCAGCAGAGTCAGCCACCTGAGGCAATAGGAACTTGGGAGGGGGAATAAAGGCGAGCCTAAATTCTGGAATAAACGAGCAAGCGAAGACCAGGGCCAGTGGCCAGGGGACAGGGCACAGGCATCAGGGCCAGGGCCACTTTTCTGTCCTGCCAGCTGATGCCCAAATAACCACACATACACTGAATATTAATTGCACATGCTCAGCTGGTAGCTTAGGCTTGTTTTTAGCTAGCTCTTACAGTTTAAATTAACCAGTTTCTATTAATCTATGTGCTTCCCTAAGGTTGGTTTACCTCATGTATGTAATTCCCATCCTGCTTGCTCTACATCTCATGGCATCTCCTCTGGCTCCTCCCTTCTTCTTCCCATTATCCTCCTAGCCTGACTGTCCCACCCAATATCTCCCTGCCCAGCTACAGGCCAGTCAACTCTTTATTAACCAGTGAAAGTAATACATATTTACACTATGCAAAGTTTGTTCCACAGAAATTCCTCATTAGGCCTTTCTTTTCTCTGAGTCCCTGGCTCCTCTTCTGTCCAAGGGTGATCACATAAACCTCCGGATTTCCTGTTTCTGGAAAATGTCACCTGCCTTGAAAATAACTTTGGATATCCTCTAATTTTACCAAATACGATGTGGTCATCATTTCACTTAAGAAAAGAAGGTCATTTATCCATGTCTTCTTGTTGTGGGCCTCTCCCTGGAGTAATCACTTGAGACAGAAGATGGCACTGATGGCCCAAAGCCTGGATAGCTATGAAAAGGCTTCAATGATGGGTCCAGAAGTATTCTCATTTTTCCTGTTTTTCCTTTTATTGAAAATAGTCTTTTCCATACTATCTCAATTCCTCCTAGGTCCTCCCAATTTCCTGTCTTATCCTAATCCACACCATTTCTCTCTTGTTAGAAAACAACCAGACATTTAAAGAATAATAATAAAATAATACAAAACGGGCAGGCAAACAAGCAATTGTTTATAGAGCATATGTGACAGTCAGCAGGTTGTCAAGGCCAGTGACCCATTGCTTCAGCTGTTTCTCCAGGTCATTCTGTTGCAAGTAACTAGTGAAGTCATTCTTGGCAAATAGTCAATACAAACTGTGCTTTAGGTAAATCACTAAATAAATCAGTATCTAATTATTGGTCTTTTCTATCTTATTCCGTAACATAATGTAGCTTTTTAAAATTTATTACACCTTAGTTATTTAGTGTGCATGAATGTACATGGTTATGTGTATGCATGGATGTGCATTTGTGCAGGGGTGTGTGTGTGTGTGTGTGTGTGTGTGGTGTGTACAGTTGCCATGGAGGGTATGCAGAGATAAAAGGACAACTAGGGGGAGCCAGAGCTCAGGGGGACAGAAAAACTGACATAAAAGTTAATACCCCCTCAAAAATCAGCTGTTGTCAACAATCCAGCTGGCAATAAAGATTCCAATACCAAATATTTCATTGATTGTGACAAACTGATCCACTCTGAAAATGCTTTGTCCTTCTGAAATAAATTTAAATATAAATATGGTCTGGAGACAATTATACATTTAGACTCTGAATGAACCAGTGATATTTCCAAACTCTGTCACACCTGGACTAGGGCTTCTCTCAGGCAGAGCCTGTGTCCTGCTCCCTCCTTTCCCCTTCATTTCTGCATGGTCTCCTTCTAGCACCTAGTTCAGAGCCCAGCAGGTGAGTACAGGAACACTGAGCCTCAAGTCAGAAGTGTAGCAGATATAGTACTAATGAACTCAATCCTTTGGTCCACTATTTTCTTCCCCTAATGCCTGCCTGAGCCATATTCACCATGACAACCCCTCCTGACTTGAAACACCCATCCTTATCCTAAGATCAACCACATAGCAATAAATCATATTTCATATTTCATGAGCCATTTAAAAGCATGCACACTTTAGGCTCCTTTCTGTTTACCTACCAGAGAAATTAAAACCTGAAGTTCCCATGACTTAAGCCCTTTTGGGAAAGGTGAGGAAACAGACTTTTTGAGTTACAATAAAATAAAATAAAACCACAAAGTACTTCTAAATTAAGTCTTGCCCCCCCATTTAGTTTTTTGGTTTTTTTTTTAATTTTTACATCCTATTCCTGTCTTCTTGATATTTTAAGACAGGTTATTTCCTGCATTACCAATGATTGTCTTTCATGGACACAAGACTTACGGAATCTAAAGAACACAAGAAATTCTCAAGTATTCATGTGTGAGAGAACACTCTCCTGTGTGTGACAAAGCTAAGTACTACCTATGCATATGAACATTTAGAGGGCCATCTCTCTGTTATTGCTGGCAAGTGGGAACACCAGAAGTACTGACACAGAATACAGCCTTGCAGCTCAAAGGGTGTCCAGCATGGAGATACTCCATCACTTTCACCTACAGTCTTGGAATGATGTCATCTTAGAGGGCAGCTGGGAGTTTATCCTGGGATAGAAATTGTCTTCAATAGTGTAGACTGTATCTTTTGGTTCCACTGTAATTTCAAAAGCTTCATTGCTATAATCATGGAAGACAACTGGACTGCAGAGAGAGTTGCTGAAAAAGAATTAAAAGGTCACTTTTCAGGTCTGCATAGAGAGTTCATTTGTGATTCAACAAGACAGGAGCCCCATCCACAAAAACTGTAACAGGGAATAAATAGCAGCACACGGGGAAGCAATAGTAAAGTCACAGAAGCATTTGCTTAATAAAACCAGCAGAGACAGCTGATCTGAACAAGGGGGAGCTCTCAGACCCAAGACCGACAGCAGGGAGGCCACCATGGGACTGATCCAGACCCCCTGAGTGTGAGAGTCAGTAAGGAGGCCTGGGCAACCTACGATTCCCTGGGCAGTAAGTAGATCAGTGTTTATCCCTGGCATACAAACTGACTTTGTGTGTCCATAACACAAAGAGGGATGCTCTCTCAGCCTGGACTCTTAGGGGGAGTGCCTGGACCCTGCCCTGAGTGAAATGACAGACTCTAGATATCCCCTATGTGGAAGGAAGTGGGGTTAGTGTGGGAGGCTGGGGGGAATGGGGGGGGGGTGCAGGAGGAGGGGAGGGAGAGGGAACTGGGATTGACATGTGAAACAAGCTATTTAAAATTAAAATAATAAAATAAAATAAATAGACATCAAAGAAAGAAATATTTAACAAAATTAGTTCTTATTGGCATCCATCAAGACACTCATGTAAGAGAACACAAAAGTACAATGACTAAAAAGACAGATACCCAACATCAAACCTAGTTACCTAATCAATCAGGGTGTGCACTTTGGAACTGGGCTAAAGACCGGATGACTCCTGTATTTGCAGCTTAGAACTGTGGCCCTTTAGGAAAGGTTAGGAGGACCTGGTGACCCAAGCTAGATCCCTGGACCCACAGAAAGGTAGAAGGAGACAGCCAGCTTCAGAAAGCTGTCCTGTGGCCTTCACAGATGCCATTGAACTGCATGTGTACACACAGGCTCACCAACAATAGCAACAACACCTCCCACCACAATAATAAATAATTCTTGTTTAAAAAAGAAATGGTTTTAAAATAGTATCTGCACACACTAATGCTAACATAGAGGGGAAATGTGTAAAACAAGGAAACAGGCCCTTTCCACAGGGCTGGTGGTCTGGGAAGCAGTTGCAAAGTTCATAGTGTGGCACACGCTCACGCAACACATGCGCAAAAACATCAGGCACTGTCGGGAGAGGAACTAATTTGGGGAAAGAACTGCTGGTGTTTGTTGGGCATCCTTTCCCATTATGTGTGGGAGGGGATTTTACTCTAATGGCCACAGTGGACTGCTATGTGAGTAGCAACTCAGAGTAGAAAATGGACTAACTTTAACTCATGGGTAGTGTTTTGACAGAGTGCAGTTTTGTCTTTTGTACAATGGCCATCTCTACTGCTGAAATGTAGAACCAGTCAGCCACATGAAGAACACTTGTGCTGCCATTTACAAAGAAGATGGGACAAAGCTTTTCTCCCGTGGGTGGGTAGCAAACGTACATGTACAGAACCATGATAGAGTCAGAAAGCTCAGGTGAGCGAATGTGACAACTGACAGAACAAAAGTCTTTTTCTTTTGTTTTGACCTTCATTTTTGTATTATGGTTTCATCTGTTTTTTTCCTTTTGTTGAGATAGAGAGAATATAACATAGGGTAGGTAGAAAGTGGTGTGATCTAAGAGGAGTTAGTTGGTGGGTGGAAAAGAACATGACCAAAATGGGTAATATGAGGAACACTTTAATTAAAAATAAGTAAATAAAAAAGAGGAGAAGGAGAAAGAGGATAAAAGGAAAAGAAAACAAGGAACAAGGAGAAATCTACAAGACCACAAGTTCCAAACAATTGGCAAAGCCGAGACAACTTACCTCTCTTTCTTCTTCTTTCTCCTGTGACTGCACTCTGAAATGGAGTGGGGGCAGTGGGAGGAGTTTAAAGGAAATTTGAACATGTCATCAAAAACATCCATTGATCTTTTCTTCTAATCAAGGCTATTGTTTCTGTTTATAATTGAACCATTCCCTGGTGACCATGGGAAGTTCATTCCTTCCTCTACCCCATAGGAAGTTTCTTCCCTGCCTTTCTGGTTTGATGCATTCACCCAGGTAGCATTCCTAAAGTGCTAGAATGGCATTGGTAAATTCTTTCACTGAAAGTCTAGGGTTTTAAATTAGCTGCTGGAGAACAAGCTAAACATGGACTCTCCTAGCAACCTGAGACATAAGGTCTGACCAAAGGTTTCATCCCTCAAGAATCTTTTTAAAAATGTCACTTAGATAGCAATATACTGACTTTGGCTCCTTCCATAATGTTGCTCAGGAAATGTGTACCAATTCCTCAGCCTCCGCTTCCTGTCAAAGACCTTTAGACTCCCTGTAGCCACCCTCCCTCAGGGGAGAATAAACAACTTTGGGCTAAGAAAATGAATATATTTGCAGTATTTTATGCAATCTATATTCTCCTCTTTTGGACATTATCCTACTGTTTTAGTCTAAGCTAGCTGTGACCTGTGATCCTTCTGAATCAATAGCCTGTGTCCTGGGATTGCAGGTGTACACCAGCAGGACCTGTTTATATAATCATTATGAATAACCAAGTTCCAAATATTCCAGAGAAACATCCTGATGTTTGACACATGTATACTTATTCACAAATTTCTACCCAGTCGTGTGAAACCGGTTAGTGATGAACTCATGAGTGGTATCTTGAAAAGACAAAGGCTGATATTCTTACACAGGGAATGGGCTACATGGACAGAAATACCACGTGTACTCCCACAAACCTTACAGGAGAGGTCTATGCAGGCCTGAGTGCCACTCTCAAAGAACTCTGTTCCAGTGTTAGTCATACAGTTTTCCCTCCAATGTCTTATTTGCCTCTTCTATTAAATATGTTCCAGAAAATTCAACAGTATGACCATAGAGCCAAAACCATATCTGCAGTCCAGCAGAGAAGACACCATAGCTCTTATAATGGTCTCTTGCCTTCCAGACTACAAGAGTGCATAAAAACTCTTGTTCCATAGTATTTAATTTCTGTTTCTTTAAAAATTTATTCTCCCGTGTGTGTGTGTGTGTGTGTGTGTGTGTGTGTGTGTACATATGCATGCCCCCTTGTGTGTCAGTGTGAGTATGTACTCAAAAGAGAAAGCACCTGCTAAATCTAGAGGCATCCCATGGAGATGTAGTAACAGACAGTTGTGAGTCACCCATTTCAGATCTAGGATGGAACGCACATCCTCTGTAAGAGCAGTCCTGGTCCTAAGTGCTGAACCATGTCTTCAGCCCCAAATTAAATTTCTTTATGGTACATGTGAATTTAATTTTTCTCTTGAGGTGTCCAACAGTTGAAATATAAAACACATGCTATAAGACACAGAAGGATAAGAAGTTCAACTCTGGCCTCACCTACACTGTAAGTTCATTGCCAGCCTGGGATATGTAAGGCAGATGGTCTAAAAACTCCAAGGGACAGAAAATTCAACAGTATGACCATAGAGCCAAAACCATATCTGCACAAATCCAAGGGACACAAATCTAACAAACCATGGCACCTAAGCAAAGAACCACTAGTGTTTAAACTTTACTAGTTATAGGAAAAGGGAATCTCCATGATACTGTAACAGCAGTCGTAGAACATGTCCTAAGTGTTAAAAATCATCTCAGGGTATAGTAGGTTCTAACACATCCCCTGGGATCCAGAAGGGACTATCATGCGTATCTTAGATCAGGGAACACAGAAATCATGTGAAGGTAGGCAGAGAGGCAGAGTGGCTGAGAATCCTTACTCTAGTTCCTTGGTCTAGGAAATACACATGAAACATACCGCCTACTAAAGGGCTAACGAAGACAGAGGAAGTGCCATCTTGAGAGAAATGTCAGAAGACACCATCTAACAAGAATAAGTGTGGAGTAAGCCTTTTCCTACCATCAAAATCAACGTTCAGGACACCTATTTTGATCCATGGATTTAAAGTGGCTTTGCACTATGCTACACTTTGCTCTGCCAAAATTCCTTGGATTTTGTGCTCATTTCTCGAGGAGACCCATTCCCATTCCTAATGCTGAAGTCTTGATAAAATTACTCACTTATGGCCAACAGGATGCTCGTGAGGAGCAGCAGCACAACAGACACGGGGATTCCAATATAGAGGCCCATAGTGGAGATCAGGGGGTGCGATGTGGGGACCACTTTCTAAGGAAACATCAATCATTGAAGAGGCACCAAATGAGATGAGCAGAAAATACATCCTAGTCCTCAACCTAGACTTTCCCTCCATTTCCAGTGGCTAATCTCGAAGAAGCAAGTATGTGGGAGTGTGCACCTTGATTCCCAGTACTTGAGAGGCAGAGGCAGAGTTCCAAGGCAGTCTGGTCTGCATAGCAGTTCTGGGACAGCCAGGGCCACATGGAGAAATCATATGTTAAATACAATAGTCTAGAGCATGCAGATAAAATCAAACAACCCAAGCTGGTACTGAGCTGTTCAACCTAGACATTGCAGTCTTCAAAGTGTCTAGGAGAAGGATGGGAATGTTTTCCATGTGATTTGAGGGAGCAACATGGTTGCATTATCTTGTGAGTGATTATATATGCACTAATAGTCAGCGGGTTGTTCAACCGCGGAGAAAAACAATGGCTCCTATGTAAGTCAATGCTCTGATTACTTGAACCGTGTGCTCAGCTGCTGGGTCTGGTTTTTCCTCACAGATCTTAATTGTCTTGTAAAAGGCAATTCTGGATTCAGCTTTTGTTTATTTGTTTGTTTTTGAGACAGGACCTTACTTCTCACTATGTAGCTACAGTTTGCTGAACTCTCTGTGTAAATCAGGCTGTCCTTGAACTCATAGAGATGGTTCGGACTCTGTCTATTTACAGTGGGGATTAGAGCAATGGTCCACTATGTCTGGCAAGATTTACATCTTTCAAAAAGTACTCAGAATAAGTTGCTCCGGATGCAGCCTTATTAACACCCTGTGATCAGACAGAAATGAGGAATCTCCCCTAGTGCCCAGATGCAGGTGATCAGAGATCAGTACATACTGGAATAAGCAGGAGACAGGCTGGCAGCAGGTGAGGCCCCTCTAATAGCTTAGCATTAATCTACTAACCCTCACCAGAGCCCATGGAGGGTTTAACTGCAAGGAAAGTGAGGACCAGAGACCAGATCTTTGCCAGTGTATGAGCCTCATCTCTGGACTCACAATCCTGGCTCCTCTGCTTAGTCAGGGGGAGCATAGACAGGTTAGTTAAGCTCTGTGAGTCCTGACTCTATATCCTCAAACAGTGTGTTCAGTGGGTTCTTGGTAATGGGATTCTCAGGTGTTCTTGACAAACACTGTGGGGATATAAAGCAGTGTTCATTGGTTTTGAGAAAGGGTCTCATGTACCCTAGACTGCCCTGGCACTCACTAAGTAGCCATAATGATGAACTTCTGATCCTCATGTCTACACCTCCCGAGTGCCTGAATCCCAGGAGGGTCCACCGTACCCACATGAACATTTACTTCAGAACATTTCCTGATTCTGAATGACAGTAATGGCCATACTTTCTCAGTCATCTTTACATTTTTTCAAACTTTTCGTAAGATGTAGTCTAGGAAGTTGGTCTACAGATTCAAGATGTAGCATGACGTTGCTAGTCTTGGGGGGCACACACCTAAAAATCACAGGACTTGAGAAGTAGAGACAGGAGACCCTGGATTTCATGATCAGCTTCATAGAAAATTCAAGGTCTCCAGGAGACCCTGTCTCAAAAACAAACAGAAAACCTAGACACCAGCACACAACGGTATCTGTGTGCACGGCTCTCAATGCACCTAGAGCCAGACTGACAGCTCCAGAATCCAGATTTTGCTAATTCTTGTTTTAAATTTAATTCTAAACTATTCCTTCTTGCTGGTACAGATGACTGTACTTCAGTTAACAGAGCTCAGGTACAACTTGATCATGCACGGTTGTATTAAAAACAGCACAAGTCTGCTCATTTAGCAATACTTTCAACATGGCAAGATGGTTTCTGATGTTGCACTAGGATACATAAATTTTTTAAATATATTCTCTTCTAGTTAGCTCATTCTTTTTTTAGCCCAACTTTAACCATATAAAATCAGTCAATTTTTCTGTGTGTCCTTACCTCCCTCCATTGCTTTGTAAATTATCTTTTATTGGGCAGTTCTAACAGACTTGCTTCTTGACACCCTTTTTATACTAAAATTCTTCCCTTCACAATGGATTTATTATCATACATTTAATACTGTCTTTGTCTCTCTGGAATTTTTGAGACAAGATCTCACTGTGTAACTCAAGATGACCTGGTAGTCCAGGCTATGCTCAATTTGGCATCTCCTATGTCAGCTTCCTGAATCCTACAATAAAGGAATAAACAACTGTGCTTGATCTCTTTCTCTTCTTCTCTTTCTTCTTCTTTTGAGACAAAAGTCTGTTAACTAAATTGACTTACAGAGTCTTTAAATGTAACATGATTCCAGGAAGACAGACAAGTGAATATTGACATTAACACAGGGAGGGATATACTTACAGTGCGATGTGAAGATGTCACAGTGATGATGTAAACTTCTCAAAAAGAATGAAAATTATCATTAGAAAAATATTATACTTTCATTATAGACACTACACATATTCATACCAATTTCTACAGTGGATTGAAAGTTAAATAATATGGTCAAAACTATAGGTACACAGTGCATCACACTAAATACTACCATTTTGTTAAATTTCTCGAGAACTTTGTGCCTCTTAACCTTTCTGTTCTGGCATCATGGAAAATTCTCTCTTTCTCTGTTTGTCTCTCTCCTTCAGAAAAATGCAAGTACATGCTCAGGATTGTCTACACATTTAGGTGAAGCAGAGAACTCAGTCGTGGACCAGTTTAAGGTGCCACCTTATCTACACTTCCATCTGAGCTGAAAGGCCATACACATCCACAGGTCAGGAAACTCTGCTCAGTGCATTAAACCCTGGAAAATTACAGACCCTATGAAGCTGTTGTTTGGGACCCAGTTGAAAACCGTTCACCTATATTATACTTCTGACTTGACTCTCATGAGAAGGACTCTGGATCCTAAAATACATGGTTTTCACCTGGTTTTGGAGTCTGCGTTTTCACTGATGGTGGACGAGTAGAGGCAGAGATTCTGGTTGAAGTTTGAGCATCTGCAGGTCTTGTTGGAGTAATTGTGTGTTTTGTTGTAGTTGTGGATCTCATTGAAGCAGTTATGAGTTTTGTAGTAGTTTCACGTTTCCTTGGAGTAGGTGGGGGTTTTATGGTAGTTGCTGGTCTCTGTGGAGTAGTTGTGGGTTTTGCCATTATTGTGGGTCTCCTTGAAGAAGTTGCAGGTTTCGTGGTAGATGGTGGTCTCCTTGAAGTAGTCATGGATTTTATGGTTGGTGAGGGTCTCCTTGTAGTAATTTTGGGTTTCGTTAGAGTAGTTTTGGAACTCATTGAAGTAGGTCTGGGCAAGCTTGTAATTGTAAGTCTCCTTGAAGATCTTGTTGGAACTCCTGAACATGAAAGCAAGGGTCAGCAAAGCAAGAAGAAAGAAGAGCCTTCTATATACCCACTCTAGCACATCAATCCAACTTGGCTATGGCAGAGCAGGGCAGTGGAGACAGCTCACCAATAGGAGGCCGCAGCACTGACAACATGGAGATGAGAACAGAGTCCATGTTTCTAAAGACACACTTTGTAAATAAATGACAGATGTCAGGTCCTCAGATGTCTAAGCATCTCTGTGACACTGAGAAGGTGTGGGACCCTGGGATTGATCCTCTTCCTATCAGTGGTGACAGACTTCACCCATGGATGCCACGCTCAGCATGTTCAACACAGTCAGTCCTGAGAAGACATACCACAGAGGGCTGCATCATAGCCGAAGGCTAACTAGGCTAGTTGACCCATGAGAGATGGCATACAAGGCCCAAGATTAAAGCATTTGCACATTTGGGTAGAGAGTGGACACAGTCATCTATGGTTTCTTCTAATCTGAGAAAAGGAGGATGAAAAGCCCTTATCCAAAAATTCTTGGTGCCCAGAGTTTCAGAATTTGGATATTTCTGAAAACTTAATAATATGTGCATATAGCTCATGATGGGTCTCAAGTATATATATGAATTGATGTACCATTCATGAGCATATACTTTACATTCATAGCTTACAGCTAAATTATAAACTCCTAATAAGTCTGCATATGAAATTTCACAGTATTGAGTGTTCCAGGCAGTGCCTAAGAGATTTCAAATCTTGAAGCACTGCAGATTTTGGATTTGGGGACAAGGCATTCAACCCATAATTCTCAAATCAAGAAAATCAGGAGTGCTGTATGAATCCAAACAGCTTACTGATGGTCTGAGAATGCAGAGACTTTAATTAAGGGAAAATGTTGCTGTGAAAGAAGTAGTCAGTAAGTGTCCCAACAGGGGTACACACTGTTTTTTGTCACCTGTTATGGTTTCCCCATGAACACCTTCCTTCAATCTTAACTCTACTATATATAAAATAAGACCTGAAATACTCTTGTCTTTAAAGGATATGATGTAAATTGGAAGCCAGTAGAATTAGCATTCAGCCCACTTTTAAAATTAAAAAAAAATGTGTGTGTTCACTTATTTCTATTGCTCTCTCCTCTGTTCCTCTAGTGAATAAAACCCTCTGAAAACAAAACATGCAGCTTGCACATTTGAAACTCATAAGGTGTATGGTGTGGTGTGTGTGTGTGTGTGTGTGTGTGTGTGTGTGTGTGTGTGTGTGTGTGTGTGTGTGTGTCCTCGTAATTTACCATGGCCAAAGTGTGGAGGTCAGAAGAAAACTTGAGAGTTGGTTCTCACCTTCTACCAAGTAGGTTTCAAACATTCAGGTCATCAAGCTTTACCCCCTGAGCCATTTGACTGGCCCTCAAGTATCTTTCCTATAGAGGGTCAAATAATAAGTGTCTTGGCTCAGGAACCAAAGAATATGTGTTCTTGGGCAAGCACTCATGTCAATCAGCTTGAAAGTCACTACTGCCAACACAGCAAGGAGTAGGTGTGGCTGTGCTACAATAAAACAATTCACATCAGTGAATGGATCTGTTTCAAACCTGGCCTGGCCAGCCTATGGTTTGCTTGAACCAGTCTAATGTGTGGGCAGAGGCTTGAGTACAATACAAACCCTCCCAGGGGAATAAAGTTCTCTGAGGTGAGAGAAAAGCAAGCATGTGAACAATCTAGTCAGAAGATCACTATGACAACAACCAGGAAAGAATCATCACCTCGGGAGCTTCCCTAGTCTTGCTCTGGGACATTTTGGGAAAGTCTGAAGGAGCTGATGACAACCTGAGATACATGGGACAATGTCATTTAAAAAAAGCAGCTGGGAGATGGTGGCGCACGCCTTTAATCCTAGCACTCGGGAGGCAGAGGCATTCGATCTCTGTGAATTCCAGGCCAGCCTAGTCTACAGAGCGAGTACCAGGATGAGCTTCAAAGCAACACAGAGAAACTCTGTCTCGAAAGACCAAATAAATAAATAAGTAAAATTAAAAGCAAATGTTTAACCACAAGCATGGTTTTCAGAACCTTCATTTCCTTGTTCTAGGAAAAGAACAAATAGCTAACAAACAGAGACTCGGTTCACTTGCAAGACATAAAGCAACAAGGCCGGCTTACCTGGCTGAACCCGCAATGAGACGGTCAGTCTCTGTACACCATTCGGGTCCTTCATTTCCACTCGACAGCAGTAGAGACCACTGTCACTCTCAGTGGTATTCTCTATTGTCAAGGACACATCTCCTTCAAGAAGCTGTCCCTCCAGCTGGTAGCGATTGTTTGTCTGATAGTAGATCTTGTGTCCATCAGCCCAGATAAGTGTTTGTACACATGTATCCCCGCATTCCCCTTGGTCCCAACACATGGATGAGATCCCATTAGAGACTGGATAAGTACATGGCAGTTTCACAGGGTGACCCACCACTCCGTGCACTTCTGGGAAACAATACACAGCAGCTGTGATTTTAAAAAAAGAAAGTGGAATTGGAGAATGAGCACTCATCATTTGCCTACAATTGATTTTTATTTCTTTCCCATTTTTCCTTTTGGCTCAACTAGGCCTGACCCTAGGACATAGGGCATGGGAGACATATGTTCCATCATTATGCTCCATGCTTCTTTGCATTTTTCTTTGCAGAGTTTTCATAGCTTAACATTTTCACTATAAACAATTTTCTGTTAGCTTGTTCTTCCAAGTGATTATATAACAGCTATGCGTGTGGATAAAGCAACTTACTGCACTGTATTATATTCACACTGTATCTTTTTAATTCTTTTGTATTTATTTATTTCTCACTGTCTCTTTCTCTCTTTGCTCATTCCTTTTTCTTTTTGAGAGAGAGATCACTAGATAGTTATCATAGGCCTAGAACTCTCTATGTAAACTAGGCTAGCCTGAAACCCATGGAGATCCACCTTTAACTCTGCCTTCTGACTTAAAGGCACACACCACCACGCCTGACCTGTTGGCTTGTTTTTAGACAGGATCTTGCTCTGTGGCCCAGGCTGGCTTATACTTACTATCCTCCTGACTCAGAATCCTGAGAAATGGGACTTCGAGTGTGTGCCACTGACATTAGCTCTAAGTCTTAAAATTTTAAAGTTGCTCTCCCAGAAGTTGTGCATGATGATGGGTGCCTGCCAAGCTGGAAGTCAAAGGTGAAATCAGAAAACTAGGGAATTCACAACCAGCCTGGGCTTATGAGACCCCGCCTCAAACTGACCTTAACTCCCCTCAATGCTACTGAAAATGAAACCCTAACTTTACCCACCTCTCCTATACAAAGCCCAGGCCTTGTTTGCAGCATTTTTGGTATAAAGGCAGAGCTTTACTAGCTTCAACATCAATTTTCAGAATTCCTTTTGTTTGAGCATATGGTTTTCTTTCTTTCTTTTTTCTTTTTTGAGACAAGGTCTTGCTATGTAACCCCTGACCAGCTTCAGTATTTAGAACTCTGTATGGAGAACTGGCTGCCTGAATTCATGGACATCTGCCTGCCTCTACCTCCCCAGTGCAGGGATTAAAACTGTGCACCACCAGGGCAAGCTCACAATCAGTTTTGCAATAACATCAGGAGGAATGTGGCCTTATGATCAATTCTTTAAAAATTAAAAAAAATACAAACCTGAACAAGGATCCATGCTTATATGTTAACATTCCAGAAACTGAACAACGCTCACTTATAAAGTGCAACCACAAAATCAGAATGTTAAATCAAGAACTAAACCTTGCAACTTTTAAACCTAAAATAAAATTGTAATATGTATCTGTTGAGATGATGGTTTAAAATCCCCATTTCCATTGCTTCCATGTAAGGAATATCTGAGGACTGAAGATGCAGCTCTTGGGTACCATGCTCACCTCGCCCATACCAGCCCCTGGATTGGATCCCAGCACAGGAACAAACAGATGAACAAACAGCACAAAACAGTGAATTGTGAGATTCACTGTCTAGTTACTTGTCTTCAGGCTGCACCGTCAGCATGGGACATGGTCTGAGACTGCACGTTCCTTGTTCTATAAAATGAGTGTGTAACGAGTGTGTATTTCTCACTGGGACACTTGTCACTTGATTTTGCCTAATAAATTTTTAGAATCACAAGCATGATATATATTATAATACAATTATAGAAATGTCTGATAAGAATTAACAGCCTTTCACAATTCTACTTCCCAAAGGTTAGATTGTAAAGTTAGAATGTGTACCAAATGAAGGGGCTCACACCTATAATCTAAGCACTTGGAAGGTAGGAACAGGAGGATCAAAAGTTTGAGATCATTCTTAGCAGTCTATTATATCTGGGGCCAACCAAGACTCTCTAGTACCCTGTCTCAAAAATTTAATACGCAATTCACTATTTTCTTCTGTATCACAGAGTGTTTTCGGTTAACATTTTTAATTAAGTAATTGAAGATGAGGGATTTTTAGCAGCGTATGGGACAAATGAAGATTATATCCTTTCTTCAGCCATCATGCAATGACTACAACATGCATGTACTATACCCATCTTACTTGAATGTAACATGCATGTACATATATTCACCACTTACCTGACAGTCTTGTGGGCCTTATTTTTGTGATTCAGATAGATTAAGAAGTTTCTTTAGAGCTACAATTTCATCCTGGTTCCTTGTTATAATACAGACCTCAGAGAAGCTATTTTTCCTCTGAACCGCCATCCTCCTAGCCCTCCCCAGCTTACCTCTCACTTACCTGAGAGAAAGAGTAAGAGGCCTGAAATGAGGACTTGAGGATTTATCATGGCGTTGACCTGAAGGACAATGACAAGACACTGGTTAACTGTGGCACTCACCTCATAGAATCTGAACAGGTCTTAATTGTCAGGAAGCAACTTATCTTTGCACCCTGGTAGAGTGAATTATGTGGGCCTGCTCCACTGGCAATGAGAGAAATCCATAATCAAAAGCTTCATCCAGGGCTCTGGAAATTCTCCATGGTGGTGGTCTCTGTGCCTTCCCATGGACAAGGAAAGCTGTCCTCCCAAACACCCTGGTCCTTTCCCACATACAGTCCTCAATCTCAATCCTGGTCTTGGCACAAGTAAGACAGCAAACAAAAAAAACTTGAAGGCAGAGATAAGAGTGTGTTCTCTCTGAGGAACCCTAAGCAAGGACCAGTCTTCTAACAGTGGTGTACTTGCCCTCTGGTAGACTAGTGGCTGTTTCTGCTCAGTAGCCACAGCGGTTGATTCCCAAGCCTCGATCAAGTTCATTATTAGCAAGATGGACTGAGAAGAATGGAGGTGTTATGTCTAAGCACATTGTCCCAAACAGGTCAAAGGCCAGGGTTTTGAAGTTTTTCATTTTAGTTCTGCTGTAACCACTAATAGACTGGGGCTAAGAAATATGAACAAATAATCAAATAATACTCTCATTAAAACATTACTATTGGGCTACTTCAATGGTCTATGGTTAAGAGTGTCCACTGCTCTTACAGAAAATCTGAGAGAGGTTCCTAGCACCCATGTTGGGAGGCTGAGAACCACTATCCCTGGAGATTCAGAAGACATAGACATTCCTCGGACACTATTGCTCCAACACAACATCACCACACACAGATACACAAAGATACAAAATTAAAACAGCAAATATAAATCTTATAATAACTTTAAAATCATATATTCATAAAATTACAAAGTATTCAATTGAAGTACTAACATAATATTACATTTTTACTCTTTCATATACTTGTTTACTGCCTTCAAGAGAATACATATGATTCTATGAATCTATACTCTATCATGTTGCTTGCATCTATCTAGGAAATTAAGATTTGTTTAGAAAATATAGACTGCATCCTTAACCTGGGTGAATGAACACATAAACAGAGGGAGAAAACAACAAAGAAAGCATAAAGCAAGGTAAGGGAGCTCGTGTGGAAGGTTTGGATGGTGTACGGTGCAACTTTAACTGGGACTGGCCCACTTCAATGGACTTGCTAAGAGCTGCTCTTCTTCCCAAACTGACCTCTCCCTTCCCATCTCCAACACTCCAACTAAAGCAAAATTTAGTTATTTCAGCCCTTGGCTACCTCATTGCTAACACAAAACCTCAAATGTCTGCAGCCAATTGAGGCTCCTTACACTGTATACAAGTTATGTCATACAAAATTTCCTTATTTGCAAACCAAAAATGTCGATGAATGAACATCACAGTAAATATATCTCCCTGGTCTCCTTTCCTTGTTATTATATAATATTACATATCTTTTTATAATCACTGACCTAAATAATCGGGGCTTAATTCAAGAGTAACAAATTCTTTGCTACAGTGTTTATCTTATTTTTTCACGTTAACTTTGCTTAAGAAGGCTTTAATAGCCGGGCAGTGGTGGCGCACACCTTTAATCCCAGCACTTGGGAGGCAGAGGCAGGCGGATCTCTGTGAGTTCGAGGCCGGGCTGGACCGATAGCCTCCAAAACAATACAGAGAACTCTGTCTTGTAAAAATCAAAAAAAGAAGAAGAAGAAGAAGAAGAAGAAGAAGAAGAAGAAGAAGAAGAAGAAGAAGAAGAAGAAGAAGAAGAAGAAGAAGAAGAAGAAGAAGAAGAAGAAGAAGAAGAAGGCTTTAATAGCTCATCTATGAAGTTCGTCATTGCATTTAAATGAAGATCCACCTTCCAAGAATCCAGAGAATTTAATTGGATGCTAATTTGCCCTAATGTCTAGAGACTCACTCCCCATTGTCCTAATATCCCACATACAACCCCACATCATCCCATAAACAGTTCCATATGGTACAGAAACTCCACAGAGCACTATGCTCTGCTTCTCTCTAACATGAGTCTGTAGAAGATCTTGCTTACCTGTCACTTAAGAGAGTGGAAACTTTTTGTTCCAGTTTCTTCTTGTTGTTCCCTGCTGCTGAGGGATGTTTCCAGATCTATTTACAGTAGAGGAGTCTCTCTTATAAGTCCATCCTTATCTCCAGGCCACATTTTCACCTGTTCTGTGTGAAAATTGAGTCTCCCTGTCCTCCAATCTACCTATTAGATAGCATCTATTCACTGATACAAACTATTGGAGAACTTAAGTGAGTGAGAGCATTGCTAATGTGCCCTGGGCTGTTTCCCAAGTGCAACAAAGATCTTCACTTGAGATGTGATTCTAGGCCTGGAGGCCATGCTGCTTTTGAGATGGCTGCCGAGTGAAGGGACTTTAACACCTGGACCAACCCTCTCAATTTACAGGTGAATAAACTGCACTCCAGGAAGAAGAAGAAACTGTGGATACCAGGAGTCCCTGGAACAAGGGCAGAGGGGACACCTGGCTCTTATTACAACCCTGGATGCCTTCTACTTACATCTTCCTAATAAATCTTTCCTAGAAGCCCATGCTCAGATGAAATAGATGAAAGAATACATCTAGTCCACTGCTTCCCCATCTGGCAACTAGAGGGTAATATGTTGTTGAAGCAAGTATTTCTAGAAGCAATTATGAATTTTTTAGGGTGTCCTCATTCTTAAAAACCAAATAAATTAATAAACTACCAGCCAACCAACCATGAATGGTCTTCTCAAGATACTGAGGACAATGTCACAGATTTTTTTTGAGGCTAAAACTTCTGGCCCATCACCATCTGTGTAGGTGAAACCTGCTGTTCCCACACCCATTTAGGGGAAGACAGGTGGGTCACAAGGATTTAATCACATTAGGCTTTACTAAGTGGAGTTAGGATGATCATTTCTGTTTTTAGTTGGATGTGTGTGTGTGTGTGTGTGTGTGTGTGTATTTAGCATATGCATGTGTACCACATGTATGGATGAGTCCACAAATATCAGAAGCGGGCCTTGGATTATCTGGAATTGGAGGTACAGTTGTTAGATGCCATGAGGGTGCTGGGAACTGAGCATAGAGCTCTCTACCACTGAGCCATCCCTCCATCCCTGAAGCTCTGTATTTTTGTATCATTTGAATATAGATTAAATGCAAGTTATTCATTTTTAAGATTTCAAATACATATTTGAGAAGGGGAGAGAGTGTGTGTATGCGTGTATCACATGTATGAATTCCTTTGGAAGTCATAAGAAGGCATCTTTTTCCTTGAAGCTGGATTTACTGGACATTTTGAGCCACCTAATACAGATGCTGGGGAACAGATCATTTTCTCTAGAAGAGGAACAACTTCTTAAGGGTGAAGGCAGATCTCTAAACCCATGGTAAGTATTTTAAGCTTTAAATAAGCAAACAAACGAACACATGAGTGTCACCTTCCCACTGGCTAGAGTCTTTTCTCCATAAAAAGCAAGCTGAGCAACAGTATTTGTCATTTTCTACTCCCTGACTACACATGCAAGGCCACTAGTTGTCTCATCCAACTGTCATCATGCTCCTCATATAATGAACTATACCCTCCAACTAAGAGAAAAAAAGTATTCCTTTCTCCTTTAAAAGAATTAAAATAATGTTTTAAAAGGCAAGTCTCTAGACTATGCATTGTTACAAAGATCATTTTCATTAACCTGATGTGGTTTTCTAAGCTTAATTGCCAGCCTCCCTTTCTTCCAGAAGGACAGACTATCCCATGATGACAAACTTGTGGAAGGATGGAAGATTGCATGCACACAAGAGATGTACTTAAACACACATTTTACTCAGCCAGTAGAGATGCTTTCAGTCATCATGTGTTTACCTGGGGCAGTTGTTAGAACCTGTCATATGTATCCTTCCATGAAGTCTCCAATTCATTTGTTTTGAACAATTGCTCATCTGGCCATCCTTCCCCATGAGTCAGCTGAATTGAAGCAATTTTAAGACTGAGAATTTGTGTTTCCAGAGAAAAGAGAAAAGAAAATGGTCAAGAACTCCTTCCCTGTGTCCTTCAGAATGTAATGGCAGGGGATCTGCTCCATGACCACTGTGTCTTACTGTAATCCTTTGCCTGGGTCTTGAAATCCCTGCTGCATTCTGACTTCCTAGAGGGAAAAACTCACGAATCTTTGCATCTGTGGTACACAGCTTGGGTTTGCAATGCAGCAGGTATGTGCCCATCCTTCCAACCACAGCACAGATGCTGGTTTTACCAACTATGACTCAGGCGTTGTGTAGGTTCCTATGGTATGGCATGCTATTAGTGACTAATTCTGACATGAGGGGTGGATTACAATAAGCTACCCAAGAAGTAAACTGGACTAGGGAGAACAGATTGTTGCTGAGGACACATTTAAAATGGAAAGTGATAGATATGAGGCAGGTCTTCAAACCATCAGAGAGAGGTATACTAAAAAGAGGGAACAGGCATGGAATAGGTACAGGGACCAGAAGAACTCAGGCTGTCCTAGAAGCAGACAGGAAGACAGTCAGGGCAGCTAAAACAGAGAGGGCAAGGAGGGACTGGCAAAGGCAGGAGAAAGGCAGTCTCCCCACACACACCTCAGAAAATGGCTGAGAGGTCCTCAACAACAGAGTAGGTGAATCTGATTGATACTTTCTAACACATTTTTATTATATATTTAAATTAGGAACAAGCTTTCTTCCCATGTCAGTCCCAGTTCTCTCTCTCTCCCCTCTATACCCATTCTTCCCCACCAGTCCGCCCAATACCCACCCAACCCCCACTCCATTCCTCAGGGAGGGTAAGGCCCTCCATGGGGGATCTCTAGAGTCTGTCATTTCCTTCTAGGGATAGTCCAGGCCCTCCCTCACGGGTCCAGATTGAGAGAGCATCCCTCAATGTAGGATGGGTACCCAAAATCCGTTTGTGTGTCAAGGATAAATACTGATCTACTACCCAAAGCCCCATAGATTGCCTGGGTCTCCTCACTAACAGCCACATTCAGGGGGTCTGGATCAGTCCCATGCTGGCCTCTCAGCCATAGTCTGGAGTCCAAGATCTCCCCCCTTGTTCAGTTCAGCTGTTCCTCTGGGTTTCACCAACCCAGTCTTGACCCCTATGCTCATCACTCGTCCTCTCTGTCACTGGGTTCCAGGAGTTCAGTTCAGTGTTTAGCTGTGGGTGTCTACCTCTGCTTCTGTCTGTCACTGGATGGAGGTTCTTGGATGGTATGTAAGACAATGGTCAAAATCATTATCAGGGAGGGGCATTTAAGGTAGTCTCTCCACTACTGCTTAGTTTGCCAGTTGGTGTCATCCTTGTAGATCTCTGGAGATCTCACTAGTGCCAGATCTCCCCTCAAACCTAGAATGGCTCGCTCTATTATGGTATCTCTCATCCTGCTCTCCTCTATTCTTCCCCCAACTAAACCTTCCTGCTCCCACATGTCCTCCTCTGCTTACATGCAGCCCTCATTGTATTAGTACCAGACATGGTCTAGAAGTATAAAGCAATTTGCATACCTCTCTTGGGAATCCCAATGTTAAAGTTAAACTCTGCCTTTTTTTTGAAGTTCAAGTGGCTGTTTTTTTGTTTGTTTGTTTTTGCTTATTTATTTTGAGATGAGGTCCTTGTAGCCCAGGAACCTCAGTTTCTGTAGCTGAGGCTGGTCTTAGACTCTTGATCTTCCTGCTCCAAAGCACCAGATTTCAAGTAAGCAACAGTCACCTCATTTGTCTTTTCCACTGTATTTTTTTATTTTTTAAACATTTCTCAGAGATTATCATAATCTTTGCATGTTATTTATTTAGTGATTTGTGTTCATTTGTTTATGTATAGCCGTGGAGCTGTGTTCCCACTCCTGGTGTTGATTTGGAAACAGGGTCTTTCTATGTAAACCAGTCTGACATCATACCAGCGATCCCTATACTTAGTGCTGGAATTTCACTCATGTACTGGAACTGTACTCACGTGCAACCACACCCAGTGAAAGCATTCACACTTGAGGAACCAATCCCATGACTCCCAGTAAGGAACATGGCTCTGTTCTTTGTTTTGATCAAGGTTCCATGGTTCAAAGGTTCCAAGGATCCACAATGCTGACATTAGAGGAAACTGGATGATTACAGGGACACTTGCAATTTTGCTGCAGGTCCAAAATCTTTCAGGATAAAAAGTTGAACAACAACGACAAAGAAATAAATAATCCAGGGAGATCTGTATCTTCCCAGACTATTGTAAACACAGAAACACAGATAGAGATACACAGAGTGTTCTTGTGACATGTTAACTGGAAAGAAGCAGCTAAAAGGGTGTGGAATGTCAGAGTTTATAGTCTTTACCTGAATTTCCAGGATGGGGAGGCTGCTACGTGTGTATCAGGAATTGTTAGCCTGAGGAAGACGGTTGTTGTCATTGTTGGAAGGAACAGTGAAAACTGCAGAGAACTTCACTGAGGCCTGGAGCAGACAGGGCTTGAAGCCGGTCACCCTCAGCACTGAGCCTTCCTTCCACCACAGCTCAGTCAACTCCAGGTCAGGAGAGTTTGACTAAAGTCTGTGGTGAACTTTAGAAAAACAAAATTGCTCCAGTCCAGCAGGGAGTGCTGATGTAGAAATCTATTATGAAACAAACATGTAAGGAACAATATTCCTAGAGTCACCCAGTTACTTTTACCTTTTACTGAAGAGCCTTACTTGTAAGTTCAGCTCATGGTTGAGCAGTAATGACATCAGTATGGCATATATAGCAGAAGGGAGATACAGGAATGGTCATAAAAATGATGTCTGTAACATCACATGTTTTCAGCATGCTAAATGTCTACCAGTGGGAAGCTAGGTAAGCAAATGTGATGTATCCATGTTATAATCATGAACCTGATTGATTGACCCAGTGTAGCATATGCTCAGCCACAATGCTACAGAGAACATCAAGGTGTAGATTCACACATGCAGAAAGGCTCCTCTGTATGCATGTATTTCCAGTAAAAGCAAAATGTGCAAAAGGTTTTGATTTGGGGACTCTAAGAGGGGGAGCATGGGGATGGGAAGAGCTGGGAAAGGGAATCATGATTCCACACACATCTTAGATGGCTTGACCGGTTTCCCATATAGCTATTTGCATATAAATGTATTCTAAAGTAATTTATGTTAAACAATAAAACAAGCTGCAAGAAGTTTGGAATGTACAAGTTTCTCATTTGTCAAGTTTGTCTATTCACTGTGTTGAGAGACTCAGAAACACAGATAGAGACACACAGTGAGAACCACACAAACAGAGAATAGAGTGAGTGAGTGAGTGAGTGAGTGAGTGAGTGAGTGAGTGAGTGACTCCTTTTTGGCTAGAAAACAAACCGTTTGTTTACTCAAATTCCAGACAGGTAGGCCATTTTCTGAGTGTCAGCTTCCCTTGGCCCCCTTCACTCAATGTTCACAGACTGGCCCACAATTCTCCCCACCATGGTGGTTCTCATCAGGAAGATTCAGGACATAACGCATGGGAACTGAGAGCAAGGCAACCTCACGGTTCTGACTCCAACCAACTAGCCCAGAAGCCCTGCAATTCTCTGTATCCAGCCTGGCCTAAACTTATCATGCAACCAAAGCTGGCATGGAAATCATGGCAGTCCTCCTGCCTCAGCTTCCTTGAGGGCTAGGGTTTACTGGTGTGAACCGCTATCCCTGACTTGTTTGTTTTTTGAGAAATGTCTCATTGCTCAGAATGACCTGGAAATTGTTTATGTAGCTCAGTTTGACTTCACCCTTTTCGTTCTCCTGTCTTAACCTCGTGAGTTCCAGGATTATAGCCATGTGGAATCATAGTAGGTACTATGTTATATTATATGCAACCACATAATAATGAACCATATTTCTAGAGACATGATTCTTAGACTCAACTACCATCTATCTATCTATGAGTAAAATTAAAACCTAGATTTCCCTTCATTTGATTCCCTCAGGGAAGTGAAGGAAAGCGGCATTTTGGGTTACAATAAAATGAACGTGACATAATCACAAAGTGCTTCCAAATTAAGTCCCCTCTTTTAATTTTAACTTTATTCCTCTCTTATAGATGGTTTTAGTATCTAAGATAGAAGTCCATTTCCTGAAGTACCAATGATTGTCTTTCATGAATACAAGAATTATGAGGTCTAAAGAAAATATCAAAGTCTAAAGTATCCATGTTTGAGACAACACTCTCCCAGTAACTTGAGAGACTAAGCATGATATCAACAGTGAGTGTGAATGAGAGGCATTCTCTCCACAAATGGTGACAAGTGGGGACACCAGATGAACTGACACTGAAAATAGCCCTGGGAATTAAAGGGTGTCCAGTGTGGTCATATCCGATTGGTGTCTGCTGCAGTCGCAGGAGGATGACCTTCAGTGAGTAACTGTGACTGAATCTTTGATATGAGCACTGTCTTCCATAATGTAGACCATGTCTTCACCTTGAGGCCTCAAGACCACTGTATTTTGCAAAGCTTCGATCTTAGAGATGTGGTCTACCAAGCTGCAGAGAAAGAGAGGTGTTGAGAACAGAAGAGGTCACCTTTCAGGTCTGAGCAGAGCTTTCATTTATGACCCATACTCACAACTCCAGGAGCCCCATTCACAAAAACTGTAACAGTGAACAACAGCACCACACAGGGCCCAGGGATTAAGTCAGGAAAACACTTGTTTAATAAGCATCAAACAAACCAAGAACTATTTTTTTTAAATATCAGCTCATGTTGGCATCCTTCACAAAAGTAGAAGATCTAAAAGGACAGATATCTAGCACCATGGTTAATTACCCAATCAAGCTATGCATGAGGAACTGGGGTAGGAGGTAGATGACTAGCATGTTTACAGTTTTGGACAGTGACCCTGGAGAAAGCATTAGGAGTGACAGTTGACCTGAATTAGATCCCTAGATCCTATACAATGGAAGAAGGAAAGAACCAGCTTCACAAAGTTATCCTCTGACCTCCATTCGTGCCATGGAACCTGTGCATGTGCAAACACGCACACCATCACCACCACCCACAACAACAATACATAATTTTTTGTTGTTTTTAAAAAACGAGTTTTGAAACCTGCATAGCATCTACATCCTGTAATATTAAGCACGGAGTAGAAAAACATGTCCAGTAGCAAAGCAGTGTCTTATTACTGTAGCTGCGGGTCTGTGGCACAATTTCAAAGACTACTGTATGGCACACATTCACAGACACCACATGCATGCTAATGTCAGGCACTGGATCAGAAGGAATTTGGGGAGAGCACTGCAGGTGTTTGTGGTTGGCCACCCCCAACAGTTGTGGGAGGGGCTTCACTTGGAGATTTCATTCTGCGCCCATCTTAATCAGGGTAGGCACAGTGGACTCGACTCGTATTTGAGTTTCTAGAACTCATGGAGGAGTAAACTCATCAAAGACAAAAGCAGACTAACTTTAATCCCTGTGACGTTTTGAAATGCTGAGTTTTGCCATTTGAACACAGTGTCATTGCTAGCACTGAAATGGAACCTAAAATGAATGTCTCCAGTTGGCTACATAAAGATATCCCTGCCCTGAGAATCACAAAATAGTTGGGGAAAAGCACATGTATGGAAACAGTGTCAGGTCAAGAAGCTATGAGCAGTCTGTGTGATATAAGTGACAGAAAAAAAGTCATGAGGAAATGTCCAGAACATATTCAGCAATGGATTGGATTTGTTTGTTTGCCTGTTATATTGGTTTGTGTGTGAGTGTGTGTGTGTGTGTGTGTGTGTGTGTGTGTGTGTGTAAGAGAGGGGGAATCACTAAGGCTCACTGACTGCCAGCCTATCCAGTCACAACAAAAAATAAAATTTAAAAAGTAAACCTTCAGTAAAATAGATACTTTCACTCTGACAAATCAAAGGGCTAACTGAATGCTGGGTTTGGAGTGGTGGGTTTTTCCTATGAGGAATTTTTCTTTCCAGTCTCAGAAGCAGTTGGTGAAAGGAATTCTGGGCATGGATTCCTCAGACTGAGGCCATTAGACGCTGCAGTGTAACCTGGGACATCCTTTCACATTTCTGAACCTCTTTTCCAATCTGTAGTATGCTGCGAATAATCGTGTATCATCTGTAACGTACTCATCACTGGGAAGAATGTGACAGAAGCAATGACAAGCAATTGCACTAGGCACTTAGGATGTGCCAGAAACCATTGAAAGCACACTCACAGGTCATCACATCGGTTCTTAGGATGTGCCAGAAACCATTGAAAGCACACTCACAGGTCATCACATCGGTTCCTGTGGTTAACTCAGACACAGAGAAGCCTTTGTAGAAACAGCCCACAAAGGAGAAGCAGGCGTACTGGACAGCAGCCAGAGGGCTGTGGGTTTTGATTTTAGAGTGACCCTGTGAAGAGCCAATTGAACTAAATGAGACGGACTAGATGACTTTTATAGCAATGCAGACAACTACGTGCCCTGGAGAAGGTACAGAGGAGCTTCAGGGGAGATCCTGAAAGAGCTTCAGAAATATGGTCAGTTAAAGAGCCTACAAGGCAGACAGCTACCGTAACTGAGCGAAGAGAGCATGGTATGCACAGGAGAGTCAGTGGCTTGCCAGCACATTTCCTTTGCACTTCCTGCTTCTACAGGAATTATCGAGCTCCATCGGCTCTCACTGGACTCACTGAAAGCATCTCAAAGGACCTGGCTGTTAGCTACCATAGTCTTTGACTCTATTTATCAGTTTTTAATATTTTTACATTTGTTTTTTAATTTAAATTTAAATTAGAAACGAGATTGTTTCACATGTCAATCCCAGGTCACTCTCCCTTTCCTTCCCCTCCTCCCACGCCCTTCCACCAACCCCACCCCAATATCCCCTCTTTTCCCCAGGGAGGGTGAGGCCCTCCATGGGGGTGTCCATAGACTGTCATTTCATCCAGGGCAGAGCCTAGACCCTCCCCCAAGAGTCCAGGGTGAGAGTGCATCTCTCATTGTGGGATGGGCACCAAAAGTCCATTTGTATGTCAGGGATAAATACTGATCTACTACCCAAGGCCCAATAGATTGCCTAGGCCTCCTCACTGACACCCACATTCAGCGGGTCTTGATCAGTCCCATGCTGGATTCCCAGCCATCATTCTGGGATTCAAGAGCTAACCCTTGTAGGTCAGCTGTTTCTGGGGGTTAAACCAGCCCAGTCTTAACCCCTTTGTTCATCAGTCCACCCTCTCTGTTACTGGATTCCTTGAGTTCAGCTCAATGTTTAGCTGTAGGAGGCTGCCTCTGCTTCCATCAGTCATTGGATGAAGGTTCTGTTTCCCAGACTCTCTGGCCATGGGATTGTAGGCTGGCACTCCCCAGATCTATGTCTAAAATCCATATATGAGAGAGTACATGCCATGTTTGTCTTTTTGCTGAAGAACAAGCCAAACCCTGACTCTCCAGGGAGCCTGAGACACAAGGTCCAACTAATGCTCTCTTCCTTCAAGCCTGCTATACTGGCATCTGCTCCTTCCTTAGTGTAAACATCAGGAGACGTTTATGTGTACCACTTATTCCTCACCCCCCACTTCCTGTCAAAGACTTCTAGACTCCCAGGAGCCACCCTCCCTCAGGGGAAAGAAAACAATTTGGGAACATAATTGTAGATTTTGTTCAATTGCTAATTCCAACTTTTAGACATGATTTTAATTGTAGCCCAGACTAACCAGGAAATATACAGTGGGTTCTGGGGAAAGGGATTCTCACGTGTTCTTGACAAACACTGTGGGGATAGAAAGTAATGTGTGTTGGTTTTGAGATAGGGTCTCATGTATCCTAGGTGGGCTTGGCACTCACTAGGTAAGCAACATGATGAACTTCTGATCCTCCTGCCTATACCTCCTGAGTGCTTGGATTGCAGTCTTGTCCGCAATGCCCACATGAACATTTACTTCCTAACATTTTCCTGATTATGAATGGCAGCAATGGCCAACCTTTCTCACACATCTTCCCATATGATTTTTTAATCGTTTCAGGAAATGGAGCCCAGAAGTTGATCTACAGGTTAAAAACGTATGTATCCATTGCCAGGCATGTGGGTGCAAACCTGTATTCCCATAAGTTGAGAGGTGGAGCCTGTGTGGCCAGGAGTTCAAAACCTTTCTTATGGTCATAGAGTTTGAGGCTAGCCTAATATCCATGAGACCCTATCTCAAAAAGAAAGAAAAGGAAAGGAAAGGGGAAAAGAGGAAGGGAAAAGAAGCAACCATGGTGGTACACTCCCATAATTTCAGTGCTGGGTAAATGGAGGCACGAGGAAAAGAAGTTCAGAGTCACCCTCACCTCCATAGCAATTTCAGGGTCAGTTAGTCTACAACAGACCCAGTGTCAAAAAGCAAGCTAATAAAACAAACAATATCAATATATATGGTGTTCTTAGCATTATTATTTTTAAAAGCATAAAGTCATTTAGCCCAGTATGAACAGCTCCAATTTCCCTGAAGGTGTTTTTGTTGTTGTTGTTTGTTTGCTTGCTTGCTTGCTTGTTTTGGTTTGAGGTTTTTGTTTAATTTTGTTTGTCTGGAAAATGTCCTGCCAGAGACGAAACGCAAGAACCCAAGTCCTTGCACACATTAACAAGGCCTCTGCTATATCCAGGTCAGAGCTGCTCCCTCAACTGCCACATATTCCTCACAACCTCCTCTCTGGGTTCTTCTCAGACTTTGAACTTTGTTTCTTCTGTGTTCCTTAAGCAGCAAGCATTCCTTAATACAGAGCTCACTGTAAAACAAATCTAGAAGAATCCTGCAGAATCAAAGCTGTTTAAAACCTTATTACCTAATGGGAAGGTGTTTCTATGGAAAACATCACCAGAGGCTCTACATAGAGTGGTGAGTGTGTGTAGCAATTAACGAGGGTGACTGTCTTTATCAGAGCACTCTTCATATCCCATTGCAATTAGGTTTCTGGTGGCCTCAACTCTGTCCTGTTGATTCCAGACTTCATGTCTCTAATGATAAAAGAGGTCTTCCTTGGTACAATACGCTAATTTCTTCTCATTGAATTAGCTCATCCTTTTTTCTAAATTTCTAAAAGAGAAAGTTTCTCTCTTCTCTTTCCCCCTTCTACCGCTCCCCCACTCCATGCTGCATTGCTTTATAAAATATTATTGATTGGGCATCTCTAATGAACTGGCCTATCTGAAATGCAAACACATTTTCTAATAGTCAAACTTTCTTCTTCTTTTAAACTTATTCCCATATACATATTATGTATTATTGTCTTCATTTTCCTGGCTTTTTTAGGCTTCCCTGGTAGTCCACTGTAGCCCCAAACTTGAGTTTTCTTGTGTCATCTTCCCAAGTCCTAACGTTAAGAAATATACCAGTCTGGATCTTTATCTTTTCTTCTTTTCTAAAACAAAAGTCTGTGGGCTACACTTACAGGCAAAGTCTTTAAAGACAACATGCTTCCAGGAAGGTAAACAGGTGAATCTGGTTATTGACACAGGGAGGAATTTGTTTACAGTGTGATGTCACAATGCTGTTCCAATTTTTCCCT